GAGCCCTTCATCGCCCGAAAAGGCCGCTAAGAAATCCAGCCCCTGGATTTCTTAGCCCTGGATTTCTTAGCAAAGGAGCGCTTCATCGCCCGAAATGCTTCATCGTCCGAAAAGGCCACTCAGAAATCCAAAACCCAGCTGGTGTAGAGGTGCCACGCCCGCACCTCAGAAACCAGGAGTCATTGGCTCAATTCTTGGAGTGCGGAGGTGGTTTTCTTCCTCGCGCAGGCAACAAGTTGGCTAAGAAATTGGGCAAAAAATCCAGGGGGCTCAATTTCTTAGCAGCAAATGCAGTTGCAACCTGCCTGATTTTGGAATCTCAGCCCTCAATTTCTTGTGCAACGATTTCTTCTACAGTGCTTGCACTGTATCTTTTTGTTACTCCCCAGCTGGAAGTTTTGTGTTTTTAATTCTCAGATAGGCTAGTTGGGGATGCGGCTGAGCAAGTACTTGTTGCGAGAGATGCAGGGAATGAGAGAAATGGAAGGACCCCTAAAAACCATGCCTTGTGGTTTCCTTTACTTACCTCTTAAAAAACACAACTTTTCAACTTTTTGGGTAACATGGGCTATATGATATGTCTGTAAAAGATTAACTTCCCCAGGGCTTGGAGTTTTAAGGGGTAAGTTTAAGGGAATCCCGAGGTTGATTCCCAATTCCTGGGTCATTCATTCCCTATTGAGCACCAGCAAGATGATGCAAAGGTAAGGTTTACTCCAGCTCTCAATGGTCTAGGGCTTAGTAGAAACCCTCTAGAGCGGTGATTGCAGTTTTTGTTTGTTGGCTTGCATATAATGATGGATCCCACCGATTCAATCCAATGGAAGCCACTCCAACGCTTCGCGCCAACAAGTTTCTCACTCTTGTGTTGTTAGCTCTTTGTTTTCAGGGTTCTCTTTATGCTTTGGCCCAGCTCCGCTCAGGAAGCGCACGTCATACCATACTGCCAGGGGCCAAGCACTTGCAAGAATGGATGGTTGCAACACCCCCCATTAAAAGAAAAAAAGTACCTTGAGGGCAGAACAGGATATGTACGCCGTCTATGGGGGGGTTGGAACATCCCCAACAGGTCACTTGAATATGTTGACTGGTGGAACTTGATTTTGACTTTCATTCTCCTTTTTTTGGAGAAGACCCCCATCGTCCTGGATTTGGATACCATGGTTTCACCTGGATTTGAAAGTGTTGGTTAGCGAAGGCGTGGGGAAGGCTGGTTTCAACCAGCTCCACAAATCCCAAGACACCTTCAGGTACCCCATCAGGACCTCTAGCCCTCAGCTCAGGTGGGTGCCTTTCCCCTCACATACGAGCCTTTAATGTTGGGTTTGCTTAACCCACCCTGGAAGAGCTCCTATGAACCTGGGCCCATGGATTTTGATTGCTTCCAGATGAACAAAGTCAGAAAATGAGGCCATGTCCCTTGGATTAGAGAGTGAATATAGTTCACCCAGGTTCATGTGTTTGGCAAACCTGCTTCATCAACTTGGGGCAGAAGGACAAAGCGGGATTGCTCAAACGGCTTTGTAGGTGGCCCCCTCTAGCGGAAGGTGCACCACGGAGCCCCATGCGGTCCATGAGCTTAGACACGAGCCACGAGTTGGCCACCGCGGGTTTCAAGGCCAAAACAGAGAAAATCGATTGCTCTACCGCTGCTTGATGCTCGACCGGCTATGCCACGGGAATGCACGGACGCTTGTTCATCTTTGCTGGGGTCTGCAAAGAACACTGACACATGGAAGCCAGCAGCTACAGGAAGTTGAGGGTTGTCGAACCGCCTTTCAATAGAAGGAGCAAAACAGCACTAGCAGTAACATGACTCACGAATCATTCATGGCTTGTCTTGATTTGGATGCAATTCCCCTGCATCCCCATTCTATCAACTGAGGCCCTGAAAGCAGCCCAAGGGTTCAATGGGATATATATATATATATATACATACATATTGACAGCCACGAGAGGGTGTGTGTCACGTTTGCTCCTGGCAGCTTGGACGAACCCGCCCAAAGTTGGCGCCAAGAAGAAAGCACCTCAAACAACGACACACCCACCTAGGCGCAGAATTCCAGGACGTCTTCAACTTCACGGCGCAGCTTTGCCGGTGAGCGGATCGATTGGCCAGCCCGGCGCCCAATTTCTGCCCTTTTTTACCGCGCATGAACTCCGATGACCCCGGAGGTCAAAACATCCGTCAAATGGGGGGTTGCTGTTGGTTTGTTCTTGTGTTGTGTGTGTGTGCTTTGTGCTCTTATATGCTTGTTTGGTGTTCCTGCCCAGATATAGTTGTGCAACGCGAACTCACATGTTGCAGTTAAGACAAAAGCAGATGGCGCACTCCCCCAATGTCGCTTTCACCATCCCCCTTACTTTTGCCGTGGTGTTCCCTGTGGGTTTCCATGTCAAACCAATTTTCAAGGTAGAAAGGTTAGCTTCTCCTTCATGATCCTGTGGGGTGACTCCCTTTCTCAAGTCGAACTACCCACAGACGAAGCACCTTTCGAAGAAAGGAAAGCCTTTTCAGGGCAGTGATTCTCACGTGACGAGGTAGCATTTAGGTGGATCCTGGTTGCGACCAGATTCCTCTTGTTCAAGCCCTCTTTTTGGAGTCCTCCTGCCCCGGCCCTTTGGCCGAAAGGTGGGCACTCACATGCCCACCGCTCAGGTGGCTGTGATTGGAAGCAAGGCCCCTTCGCCTTTTTGCTGCTTTCCGCACTCAACTTTGGACATCCCACGGTCACTTTGAAAACGATACTAGTTGAATAGAGCAAGGCAACCCGTACTGAAAGGAGCACAGGGAAGCCTGGGAAGGAACAATGATCTCCAGAAGGTCAACTAGTGCCCGTGTTGGGGTGATTTTGGCATTCCCGCGGCTCTCCCTTGGCTGCTGTCGGTTCGGGGTGTAGGCCAACTCTTAGACAAGTTGGTGTGTGGTTGACCGGGATGCTCTTGCCAGTGCTCACCCAAGGGTCAAGTGCAACACATGGCTTCCGCGGGTGCTCTGAAATTTGCGAAAGCAGAGAGCGGTCAATTTGTAGGGTGGCTTCCCTGGGCATTGCAAGAACACCCCGCAAGCAGCGCTAAGTTGCAGGGTTTTCCTTGCTCCCTACTTGCAATGTTAAGGGAATCAACCGTGCAGCGTCTCACCCGCCAATCTCCGGCCGTGGATGGCCAATCCTTGAATTGGATTTGGAGATGGGGCTGGCAGCTGCCATTCTTGATCCAGTTGCTCACGAAATTCCACCCTTAATACGCGAAAATACGCGTTTGTCTAGAAGATTCCCGGCTCACAATGGAATCAACCTCACAAATTGGTTCGGGCCTTGTCGGGTTGCAGCTGGATTGAGGGTAGCTGGGTTTGAAGTGAAGCGGCCTTCTCCAGCGCAGAGCGGGCACTCTTGCCGGAATGGCACGCAGTGCCCATGCTACGCTTGCTTTCTTCCGTTTCCAGCTGTTTCGTTCTACTTCCCAATCATTCCCGACATGGCATAAGGCATAAGATGGCGTTTCCCATGTTTCCAGGGTTCAAGGCTGCCCTGACTAATAGAAGTGTTGCTGTTCTTACTAAAGGGTTGGTTGTTTGGCCGGTCCAATGCTTAATGGTCCTCGGTAATAGCTTCTATTCCCTGGCTTGTTTGGGCCTTTTTCATGGAGGAGACCCACACACGATCCAGACATTCACAGAAACCATGGCGTTTTTTGTTCTTGGAGGTTCCAGGAGCAGCGGCAGTCTTCAGGAAGGTACTGCTTGTTCGCTTTTTCGGAAAGCAACCAATGAATTGAAGTTCACATTTGTTCGGTAGTGTGCTGTGAATTTGGGAAGACTCGGGGGGAGGCCTTTTCTAAATTCCTTGCGAGACTGGGAAGCTGTACCTGTGCATATTTTAACTCCTTTTTTTTAGCCACGGCTCTGGGCAGTTGTAACGAGCTGTGGGGGTAAAAGCGAATGATCAAGAACCAATTTCTTGCTTCGCGCCTTGGAGATCCCAAAGTGCCATCCCAATTGTCGCAAGCTCAGATTGAATCGGTTCATAGAGGTCACATGGAACTTTGGCGCATTTTGCCAAGGGATGCTAGGACTTTAACTTTTTTCCAACTCATGGGTTTTCCGAATTAATCCACTAAAACGTTAAACTTTCAGCTGAGCAGATTTCGCAACCGAGAGAAGGTGAGGGGGTCGTGTCACTTTCGGCTCAGAGACCTCGCAGCTGTCCGAAAATGCGCCGCAACTTGGCTTCCGCGGGAAGGCCATGCCTTGGATGCCTTTGGGGTGGAGGGCTGTCAAGCTCATAGCTTCACTGTTGGTGTGGTTGTTGCTTTTCGGCTGGGGTTGTAGCAGGCCCTCAATCTCAGCGGTTCAAGAGCAATCCTTGATCCTTATGCCAGATGGCAGTGGATGTCTTTGTCGTACTGGCGTCGCGCTACGGCTTCCATTTGGAACAGCCAGGATCTCGTGTTTTCTAGTTCGCGTTTACCCTATGTTCATTTTTTAAATGGGCCGCGGGGTCGGGAGGACGAGATGACAGAATGGGCGCCTGAGCGCAGCTTGCAGCGCTTTCTCCTATGGGCAGCTGTCCTTTGAACTTCCAACCACTGGCTCGTCCTGGCTCTCCTGGTATGTACCTAGAGTCTCCATGACCCTTTACAAATGGGGTCATTACCCTAAATAATGGGGTCATGGAACTATTTTTAAAGGGTCATGGAGACTCCAGGTATACATACATTTGTACAGCTGGGGCGCAAATCATTTGGCCCCATGCTTCTGACAGTGCGAACGAAATCGGCAGATCATTGTCTTGCAAAAAGTGAGCATCGTGTCAGTTTGTGGTTTCCTTCTTGAGACAAACCGCAATTACTGCTTCACTTGCTTGGTGGCTCCCAGCCATTCCCTTGGCTTTTCAGTTTTTTAGTGCTTCAACCCACTAAAAGTTTGTCATTTTTTGCGGGGGATCCGAAAACGGGCAGCCCAGTTTCGTTGTAACGGATTGATTCGCCGGTCTCGCGCCAGGCTCTCTGGCTCACAGCGGATTTGGAAGGCAGGGTTCCGCTCTCCGGTAGGTGCGATGAGCCAGTGCCCCAGGCACTCTGCTGTGGAACTAGCGGGGGATAATCGCAACATGGGGTGCCGGAGTTGGTTGCAACTGTCATTTGACAACAAGCTCTTCCCTTGGTAAAACTGAAAGGAAGTTGTTTAAACTTCGGTTTAAACATGTTTGAAAGGTGAAATCACTCAACCCTGTTTGCTGTCCCATGCATCTCAAAAAGGCCCAATGGCAGTCAGAGCCTTTCTTGCTTCCTTGGCAATTTCCTGGGGCGAATGCGGCTTTGGGAAATACGAACATCCAATTTATTCTTCAATTGTCCAGGTAGAGGGTTCCTGATTTACCTTGTCCGAGCCTGGGTTTCTGAGTTTCCTGGGCGTATGGCCAGCTATGATTGGTTGAATGCACATGAACCCCTGGAACCCTCACTTCATGAAGGCCACTATCGCCTCCTCTCTAGGCTTGGAACTTCATGAGTTCGGGTTTTGCTTTGCTTCCCCGGGGCAAGGTGTCACCTTTCAGGGATCTCTCAGTTGGCCTCGGTTTGCGGGTTTTCTTTCGAGGCTTCCTTCCTGAGGGATCATAACCCTGGATGAGGGTCGGGGTAACCGTACATTTTCCATATCCCGGGCCCATTCTATAGGGTGTCCCCCATTTGGCGCAAAAACCTCTGATTCATACGTAAGGTTCAACCCAGGGAGAAAACAATACCCCAACGTGCTCCCCCAGCCCAAATCAAACTATGGTTGATAAATAGAGTGGCGTTCCATTTTTTCGGCTGGACTGGGTTTTAAGACCACCTTCTCGCATGCCAGGGCAACCGACTCAAAGTGATAAGTAGGGCATCAGTTGCGCAACTGCCCATTTTTGGTTGAAATCTCCAATTGCGGGCCAGCTGCCGGTTGGGAATGCCAACTGATTGTCGCTCACTCTCTTTGGCGCCGGGCATCGAGGGTTCCCTCCTTCACCATTCTTCGCCCCTTGTGGTTTCTTGAACGGTTGTTTGGTTCTGTTCATTGTGGGTAGGGGTTGAACAACAATTGTTTTTGTTTTTCTTCTAATTATACAGTTCTTTGGTTGTTTGGTTGTTTGGTTCGGTTCATTTTTACCAGGGGGCTGCAACAAGCAGCGCTTGTTGCAGCCAACCCTACGGGTGATGGAACGGTCCATGTCCGAGGTCTGCAGGACCTTCTGCGTGAACAGCAGGTCATCGTGGCAGAGCAGAGCCTTGGCAAAGCTTCAGAGAGCGACTGGAGTAAAAAGAATCGAGCGATGTACGCACACTCCAAATTCGACTTCAGACAAACCTGTAATTGTCCAGTGTTTTGTGGAAAAGGAAGGTCAGTTTTATTTTTATTTTGGGTGGGGGTGGGGCTGCTACCATAGTTATACACACATATATATATATATATGTTAGGTAGGTGTGTACGCGCTTTTGGGTGAGCACGGCTGATTCTTGCAGGCCCCCTTTCTCCCTTCCCAAGTTTCCGTTGGTGTTTGCACGTTTCAGGAAGGGATGGCATTCCTGTTTCAGACAACCAGCTTGCTGATCCCCGGGCTGCATCAAGGTCCCGCAGCGGTGCCGAAATGAATGCCATGAGGAATGTTGGAAGGTTTTTTTCCTCCAAAAGGGGCCCTCTGGTGGGTTGCATGTTAGTTGGTGTAGTGATGTAGATGTTCACGGCAAGGGGTTTGGAGGTTATGCCTTTTGGCCCAAAGGTGGGTTACCGTGTGCTTGGAGCATGTGATGAGTTGCCCTTCGTTGTTGCCACCTTGCGCGAGCAATCTTGGCTGATTTGCGGGAAGCTTTGGACAGGAAATCTGAGAAAGGGAAGCCCAAATGAACGGATCGACCACTTTGAAGAAACATAGGGTGCTAGCAGCCGTGGCACCACTGGTTGCAACTGTACCCTCTTTAGGGGACACACATTTAATTGGCGTTCTGGAATACGTACGGCAGCTGTTAGAACGAAGCCACCCACGTCTAAGAGGTGCCCTGTTCTAGCAAACCCCCCACACCCCAAGCAATGCATGGAGGGTGGGGGGTCACCCCAACATAGGGCCCTTCCACCTTTGCGGGTGCAAGGCAATGAGGAAAATGGAGGAGCTGCCCTTATGTTTTTCCCAGCTGGGGATGACTTTGACAATGTCCACTTCGGAGCATTGCATCCTTACCCTTCTCGCAGTCGGGGGGCGTGCAGGAGCACCCCCACAAGGACAGAATGCTTGGTTTCCTGTTGTTTTCCCTGTGAAACTACACCCAAGAGGGCAACCCCCGAAAAGACTGCCCAACAAAAAAGAAGAGGGAAACAGTTTCCTTTTGTATCCCCTTTGGAACAACACCCACAAGGGCAACACCCAAAAGACTACCCTCAAGAAAAGACAGCGCCGCTCGCATTCCCAGCCTTCCCTGAGGCAGAGCATGCGCGCTGAGTTCCAGCAGATGCAGCGCAAGCTGGACGACTATGTGAAGAGCGAACTGAGGCGACGGCACCGGGCGGCAAGTTCGGCCGAGCTCTTTCGGAGGCGAGCTTACCCCATGATGAAGATCAGTTACTAATGGATTCCCTTATTTCCAGTTTGGTAGTTTGAGCACTTTGCCCAGAAAGCATCCAGGTTGGGATGATACTGCCTGAACGAATCCTCTCTCCCCCGAGGTTTTGGACTTGAGTTCAGATTTTGCTGGGCCAACCCACTCAGGAGGAGAGAACCAAAGAGCATGTTGAAAGGCACTGGACAAGGCAAAGTTCCCTCCTCTGATATGGTTCGGTTACCCTTCTGTTTTGGAGGAAGCCAAGCCCGCGACCACCGCCATCAGTTCTCCCTTGTTACTCCCTTAGGGATAGTAAGCCCCACTAAGGATGGTTCAGCATCAAACATAAATGGCTCCGCTCCCTTGTTCTACCAGGGTCACTGGGCAAGTGAGGTTGGTTTTTTGGTCGGTTGGTTGGTTGGTTGGTTGGCTGGCTGGCTGGCTGGCTGGTTGGTTGGTTGGCTGGCTGGCTGGCTGGCTGGCTGGTTGGTTGGTTGGTCGGTTGGCCAGAAGACAAAGTAAAAAGACATCCTTTGTCCTTGAAGGGGGGGTGAGGCGATTGAGCAGCCGTTTGGACGCCAACGACGCGCGCATCCAGCGGGTGCTTGGGGATGGCCCCACGCCAACAAAGTTTCTGGAGCCTCTTGGCAAAGGGTGGGCTGCGCAACTTGGCGTATACTTCCCCTTTCCATCCTTTTTGACTTCCCTTCAGGGCGTTTAGGGGTGCAAAAAGTCCCCAGGCGAAGGTGCTGGGTGCCCTTCCGACGTGCAGGCTCGTTTGCCTTTGGTGTGACTGAAGAAGCCGACGCGTAGGAAAAACCCTTGACTTGTCCCATCGGCGATTGCCTTGGTGCACTTGCATCCCACCCTGCCTCAGCCTGCGCGCACAGGTGACTTTGCTCAATGCGCTGCTGTCAGCAAGTAGGCCTGTTTTCGGCTGCTGCGTGTCAAGGCACAGACATGGAGCCTTTTGCGCCAGAGGAAGGAAGGAGGGAAGGAAGGGATGGAGGGAGGGAGGAGGGAGGGAGGGAGGGACGGAGGGAAGGAAGGAAGGAAGGAAGTAAGGAAGGAAGGAAGCAAGGCCCCCAGCAAAGATCCTTTGCGTGTGTGTTCCCTGTTGGGGTGGGTGATTGTTTCTACCGTTTGGAGTTGACTATTGCCGCAGTAGCCAGCAAGACTCCAGACATCTTGTTGCTGGTGGACCTGCCACGTTCCTTTGCCAAAGCCGTTGCAAGCTGAAGCCAGGCATCTTCCTGTCAGGTAGTCGGGAAAAGGCAACCCCTTCAGCACATTTGTGAGCCCAACAGCGATTGAGCGGTAGAAGGATCGGATTCATTTGCTGAGCTTGGTACGCCTTTGTTTGTCCTTGTTGTTCTGAAGGGAAGTGATCATGCCTGTCATGTTGTTTAGCTTGTTCATATCACTGTCATTCCAAATCCTCCCAGTCAGCCGTACCCTCAAACTTTTAGTGTTGAGAGTTGCAAGGATGTATAACGTGGCAGCATTTCAGGGATGAACGCAGCACCCAGCTTTGATTTGCCATCGGGCTTGAGTATAGGGCAGTATATGCCCCTTAAGTGTGAAGTTCTTAGTAGAAGAAGGAACAATTTTTAGGGAGAAGCAGCCAGTTGTGGCAATCCACCACTTTTTAGCAGTCTGTTGCACGCGCACTCTTACCGGCCCAGTCTTCTCCACCTGGCAAGCCCAGGTCGGCAAAGAACCTCTTTGCCGACCCGGCGTCCGGCGCACGCCAGGAGCGTGGGACTGCTGGCGCGCCAACAAACATGAATGTTCACAAGGACCCTTTCCAAAAGAAATTAGTCAGTTTTTAGAAAAGAGAAGAAAACAACAAAATCAGGGGTTTGTGATGTGTTGCTTTTTTCCCAGGGGTTTGCGCACTTCCACGTTTTATAGGTGGGAGGGTTCCAACCACGAGTTAGCCAAAGGGTACCCTTTTTCCATCAATTGTGGAAGTGGCATCCGGTACTGCCCACACCTTCATGATTAATGGAAAGATCAAGAAGGGACCGATTGCTCATGGGGTTGAACGGAGCAGCCTTGCGACAGCGTTCAACAAGTCCTGCTTGCCAACAACCAACCAACGCCCACTTCCCTATGTTTTGTTGGCCTTTCCGCTTGTGCCGGTCCCTGATGTGTCTCCTGTCGGGACCATCTGGTCGTGTGTGAGGCGACGGTCTTTTCAGAGTTTTAGTCCCTGGTGTTTCTGCAATTGGCCTCTACTCTTGGCAATGCCCCTGGCGGGGTTCCTCCACTTTGAAACCCTCTCTTGCTGGCCGCGAACTACTTCCGCCGACTTGAAAGCCTGTGGCTACTGCAGCCAGTGACGCTCATATTTATTTAGGCATTTGTTGTTTGAGCCTGGACCCCCTGACGATGCGATTCCCTCCTTCTCGTGGCGACGGTTTTGGAGGACGTGGGCCATTCTTGCTCGCTGCTTTTTGTTAGCATTTCCCTCCCTTGGCCTTCAAGTTTAGACCAAGCTGTGGGCTGTTGAACTCATTTCCCGGCTCCGGGCCTCCTTTTCAAGCCTTGGCCCACTCTGCCCGTTCCCCCGGTGGGAACGGTTATCGGTTATTGTCGTTGGTGCCTCGGCCTCCCCAGTCTGTCGGCCCTTCAATGCCGTTGCGCTTGGGGTTCGGTTCCCTGGCTTCTGAATGAGGCGCCTCTCACCCGGTTCGTGGCCCGCGGGTTCCCTGCTAACCGAGCAATCACATGCGGGAGCAAACACTTCGGGGTCAAAGGCCAATCCAGCATGTATATCATGGTTGGATCATGGTTGGACAGGAGGCTCAGAGCGATTTGCTTTGTCTAGCTTGAATATGACTGGTTGGTTGCCTTTTTTAGGTGAGCGGTCTTTGGGCTGCTTCTTGCGGGAACATGTTGTTGAGAGCCTGCTGAAACACAGGGAAGCATGCATCACGTATCTGCCTGTGAGCCAAATCATGTGTGTGTGTGTGTGTGTGTGTGTGTGTGTGTGTGTGTGTGTGTGTGTGTGTGTGTGTGTGTGTGTTTTTGGCGCTACCCTTTTTGTAAGAGCAGGCAAAAGGGAAACTGCCCGAAAGCGAGGTGTGGGAGGCTTCCAGGCACCAGCCTCTTGCAGACTGCTTCACACGCAGGAGCCGCGGATGTCGCCGCTGCCAGAGACGGGCGGCTACAAACGCTCCCCCCTGGTGCCCTCCCCGCGAAGCGAGAAGGTCCGGCAGTCCATGCAGCAACCATCGAGGAGTGCGATCCAAGGGCCCGGCCTGCGAGAAGAATCCTTCGAATGCTGCCCTGTGATTCTATGTGCCTGCTATAGTGGGGAATGAAGGGAAACTGAGAGCCTCCTCTGGAAATGGTGTGAAGGGGTGACGAAGGGAAGCTACAATGTAATTGAGATCCATTGACCACTGGGCTAAGCCTTTTATTTTTGCTGCTAAGCATCGAGGGAGGTTTCAGCGCGGATGATTTTTTGTTTTTTTGTGGAAGGGGTTTCCCTTGGAACAGCAACTACCGAATGAATTATTTTGTTTAGGAGGTGTCCATCTGTTGCGGAAAATAATTACTCCAAAGCTATGGAGGTCTGGTGAAATCCTTGGCGGCAGATGTCGGCTCGCCGCTTTTACGAGGAGGAACTCCAAAGCATCTTCCAATGACTTGGACTCCAAAACGGACCAGCTCGTGGAAGCGTGCAAGAAGGAGGGACCGTTCGAGGAACTTTAAAGCATCCCCAGCACCAATTGGGAGTCAAGAGATAAACCGTGATGTGACATGGCTTTGCCTGGCAGGGTCCAAGAAACCTGCTTGTGCATACGGATCGATTTGGAGGTCAGAACCATGAAGGTGTGTTTTACGGGGGCAATCGTATGAGAAACGAGCCACGTTTTGGGGTTCCTCTTGAGAAAAACTTTGGGCAGTCGAACGATTCCAACCAACTCCCACTGGTCCTGTCAGGCCCCGGTCGAAGACGTTTGGAGCTCGCCGGGAGACTCCGCAGTGACCTCGACCGTGCTGGACCACGCGGAGGAGAATCTTAGCAAAGCGAACTTCAAGCCTTTTGCTTTCCTCTTTGACCATGTGTAATGTTGACCCCATATTAATCAGCGCCAGTTTGTTACTAGGGGGGGTGCTTTTTTCCCTTGGCTTCGTGGGGAATCATCATTTTGGAGGGGAACACTCCCTATTAATATCAGGGGTTGATGATTGTGGGGTCAACATGATCCAAGATTCAATAGGTTTCTCCTTTTCCTTTGTTTTAAGTCCCTTCACTTTACGTCCCGAAAGCTCCTTTTTTCGCCAGGTCCCTTCGGCTAAGGAATCTGCGGCGCTGCTTCGCAAAGACGAGGGAGGGCCAGCGCAACCCCAACAACCCCCTGCGCCTCGGCCGCTGCAAGGAGCAAACTGGCCGCCTCGACAGAAGAAGAGAAACAAAAGCACACACACACACACACACACGCACCCACGCAGACACGCACCCACGCAGAGACGCAGACACGCAGACACGCAGACACTCAGACACGCAGACACGCAGACACGCAGAGACAGGCAGACACACAGACACACAAAAAGACACACAGAGACACATACACACACACAGAGAGAGACACACACACACACACAGTAGCTCACACACAGAGAGACGCACACACACACACAGACACACAGAGAACACACACAGACACAAACAGACACAAACAGACACAAACAGACGCAGACATACAGAGAACACAGAGAACGTGCACAGAGAACACGCACAGAGAACGCACGCACAGAGAACACACACAGAGACCACACAGACAGAGGACGCAAAGAGAGTACACAAACAGAGAGACACACACACACACAGAGACACTCAGCGGGACACATAGAGGCGCACACAGCGAAAGACAGAGAGAGAGAGAGAGAGAGAGCGAAAGCACACACGCACAGACACACACAGACACACAGAGAAACACAGAGAAACACAGAACGCGGCCGCCCCAAAACAAGGATTGGCCAAGACTCCCTCGCCTGCGGGGCTGCATAGCCCAGGTTTGTTTCATAGGGAAACTCCAGTAGTTTCCCTTGGTTTCTCAGGTTTGTTTCATAGGGAAACCTTGGCTTCCCTTTGGGAAAAGGCACTCCCACTTTTTATATTTCAACAAAAAGGGAATCCGAACATCTCGATTTTTAAAGATCGTTCTTGCAAGTGACAGCTCGGTGACAGTAGACAGCACACTTCACCGAGAAGGGAATGATGCCTCCAGATCCGAATCCACCGATGAAAGCAAAGGCGACGCATCAACCAGGGCGGAACCCAGCGCACAGCCATGGGTCCTCGTCGCCCCGGAGCCCTGCCCATCCACCACTTTCAAGGGTGACTTTGAGAATGTGTCCATGATGCGGCCCGTTGAATGCGTTTCGCATTTCGACACCTCAGAACCGGCCACCAAAAAGGCTGGGTCGAAGCGCCACTTTTATTGCTTGAACCTTTGGATGGCGCAGCTTGGTGATGTCAGGCAAAACTGCGAGGAGCGTCCGGACTTGGAGCCTTGGGAAGGCCACAGCGTGACATGAGGCGATGCCGAAGGGATACCGCGCCACAAAAGGAAAGGACGTGCAAGACTAGAAGCAAACTTTCACCAGGGCCGGCAGAATCTCTGGAAACATATTTTTTGGTTGCGCCAAAACAAAAAATACAAGCAAAAGTACCATTCCCTTTTGGCAACGTAGCACTCAGCTGGCCAGGGGCCAGGGGCCCAGGGGCTCAGGCTGGGGCTGAATGCAATCTTCAAGCGCCTGGACCAGAACCACTCGGGCAAGGCGAGGCTGTGCTGTGTGGAGGTCACCTTGGCACAGGACGAACCTGTTATGAACCCGTAGGATGACCGAAACATCGACCTTTGACCTTTCACTTCAGTTGCGCTTCAAGTTGAGTCAAGTTTCCAACAGGTTAGCTGTTTACTTCCACTTGGGCAGCTGAGAATTTTCAGGCTGCTCCGAGACGTTCCTAGGGCCCTTTTCGCGAAATCTAGCTTGCCAGCTGCCAGCGATTTCCCACCACTATGATATGACGTATCATTTGTTGTCGCACGAACTGCTGTCCAAGAGGGCGGCTTTTCCTTTGCGGGCACCTCACCGATTGCTCCCCCACTGGGCTCAACTCCCCCGCCTGCCAAGGCTCCGCAGCAGGCTTTGCTCCTCTTTGTCTTGCACTTCGTGTCTTCTCTTTTGTTTGTGCGTTCCTAAAGAAATCCCTTTTCGCCCGAACCACCCAGGGGACGGGCCTCTCTCAAGGGTCAAGCGTTTTTGTGCAGAGTTTGTTGACCTACAGGGCCTTTCAAGTGCTTTGGCCATCTTGTCTTCTTGTTAGGAACCGTTTGGTTCCTCCACTGTCAACCCCCAAAAGTGTGCAGCCGCGCCCCGTCAACGTGCGGACGCCAGCTTTCGCTTTCCTTCCCTGGCCTCAAGGAATTCTCTTGACCACGCTAACCAGACCTTACCAGCCAAAAGTGGAGGTCATGGACCGACTAACTACCCCGGATCGTCCCAGCTACGAGTGGGGCGTCCCTTTCTTGTGATCCGTTTTGATCCAAGGGCCGCTCACAGGGATGTAGTTTTACAGCTCGTCCAAAGTATTTTTGGGTTTTTTGGGTTCCAAAAGGGGAAAGCTTGTCAGGCTAGATACACGTGAGTCGTTCAAATTTTCGTCCAACTCTGCAGGTGGACCGCCAGGAATTTGCAGACCTCTGCGCTGTGTTGGACTTCAACTGCTCCGCGGACGTGGCTTTGGCGTCCAAATTTGGCCGGCTCCGAACAACAACTCAAACTTACATCCAGGAGAAAAGAAGCGGTCAAGCAGGTTTGAGCATTTAGAAATGTCACAACAAAGCAGAAAACAATCGCTTGTCACTGGAGTTGGTGAGGTTTGCTCCTTCACCATAGGTTGCAAGCTACTTTGTAAGCGGGTTGAACATCCAAGTACGTGTGCAACTATTGCCCTTCCTGCTGTAAACCATATGACCTTACATCCCTTCTGACCCCATCGGAGCTTCTCAGAATTCTTGTAAGTGAAGTGCTACAAACCTTTTTCGGGGTTGGGGGGGGCTTTTGGTTTCTCCCCTTCGGTTGCAATGTCATGCGCAGCTGTTGGAATTGTTCAGACCCATACTTAATCGCTTTTTTTTTGCTACCTACCAAGTAAGCAATAATACTTGCTTGCAAGCTCGGCATGGTACCTGTTGTCCGTGTTGTCCACCCATGCGTGCTTGTTGTCAGTTTGGTTCTTTACTTAAAACATGTGTCCCAACCCACAAAAGGGGGTGCCCATTCCCATCACCGGGAAAGTAGGTAGCCAGCTGCAGTTATAAGTTGGACTGTTGTTCCTGGGTTGTCAGGAAGTGCTTGGTTCGTTTCTTGGGTTACACGTGATGTTTGCTGGTTTCCCCTCAGGATTAAGGATTAGGATTGGTGAGCCCAACAGCCCAGCAAGTAAGCCAACAAAAACAAAACACACCTAGAACAAATAACCTGCCAAAGTTGGCAACCACAGCCAACAGGGGACATCGAACCTTGACTTCCAATCAAAGGACTAGAGCCTCCAGCCAGAAAGCGTGCGGGTGGGTGTGATGCTTTAGTCGCCTCTATTCGCTATCAAGGGAGTGGTAAGGCCAGTAAATGCGGTTTACCAGCTTCGCACCCTGTTCTGCAAGTGAACTGATGTGGCCAAGTAGTGAGTGAGCTGCTTAGGTCATGAGCGGGCTTTTCAACCGCTACGACGTGGACCGGTCCAACTACATCACAGTGGACGAGTTTGGTCGCACCCTGGATCCGTGGCGAAGCGCGAGCAGGGGAGTGCATGTGTGGTGAAGGAGGAGTACTTCAGAGCAAGTTGTGAGAACAAAGCTTGGTGGGCTTGGTGGCCTTGGGGCGTACAGCGATAGACGTGACCTACATGACACCAACAAACGCCAACCCCAAGGGCCCGAGGCATGGACAACAAACCCCAACCCAACCCAAGGCATGATGCTCAAGTACCAAACGGGACCTGAAGATTAGAAGTGTCTTGCTTTCTTTAGACAAACCCTACAGCAATTGGTGGACCCTTTCTCGAAGGAAACGCAGCCGAGCACCCGAGCTGCATACTTTATGGCGATCTCACCGATTTTCGGCCGTTAAACCAGCTCTTGGCAAAGATCCTTCACTTGAAACTCCGGTACTTCTGCCAGGTTTTTGGCGAATATGGTAACCGATTGCCGAATCCGTGTCTTTTCTGCCAGGAAACAGATCGAAGCAATCCCAGCCTCCTGCAGATGGGTGGGTGTTTGTCCAGGGCACCCCTAGGTTCTTTTTGTTGTTAATATGGGAATCCTTAGGAGGAACGCCACACCCAAATCCAGATATCTTTTTTTTGGGCAGACGAGGCATCAAGCGCCCAAGATCCCCTTTTTCAGCGCGTTTCTGCGAGGTATGATGTTCAAGCTGGAGGGGGACAAGGAGGGCAAGGCTCTGAGCACCATCGCGCGGCTCCGGGAGGCTTTGGCCCTGCGGGCCGGCGGCTTCGAGACCCTCAAGGCGCGCGCTTGCGGCGCGCGACGCGCGCCGCCGCGGAAAAAGCCACCCACCCAGGAGTCCCAAGGGTCCCGCGGGGTGGGTTGGAGGCCAAAAAAAGGGTCCGCCGTTTTGTGAATCCTAAAAGTGGGTAGGTGTCAAAGAATAAGGGGACGATGTCGCCTCAAAATGGTGGTTGTCCTTTTGGCTGAGGCCTAAACAAGGGTATACCGGCGCAAAACGACACACCCACAGGTGTCCACCCTGGGAGTTGCATACTCATCGGTTGACTGTTGATTGCTTTTCAGAGTGATTTCCGTAGCCACCGTGTGAAGGGTAGCTTGAGGATGTCACCTTAGTGTCCAGTCTCTGGGACAGTTTGGCAGACGGCAGGTGGGTTTCCGGGTTTCAGTTTGGTCTGAGCTGCATTTGCGGAATCCATCTATTTGTCTAAAAGGGCACCCAGTCACAACGGGTTGGGACTTGCAAGAAGGGTTTCTGCTTTGTATCCCCGAAAAGGCGGGCGACTCATCAAAGAGCCCCGTTTTTGAATGCTTCTTTTGAGGGGTTCTCCTTTCAAAGGTTGATATGGCTGTGGGTCAAAACCAATGCTACCATGTTGGGGTAGGTGCACCACCCATTTTAGTTTATTTTAGTGGGGATTGGGATGTTTTTTTTCTGAAGGTATGGGATTTTGACCCATGGCCACATGTTCATACCACCCAGCCACAAAATGCTGGGCCGATGCCCAGTGCTCAAGGGGTTGGGGGTGGATTTGTCTCAGGAAGTGGGAACACGACATGGGTTATGAAATAGGGGCACCCCGAAAATGGTTTGTTTCCTTTTCTTTGGTGCCTTTTGCTTGGATGTTAGGACTTTAACATTAAACCACTAAAAGTTAAACTTTTAGCAGGGGAGCAGAAAGCAACCGAGTTTTGGTGTCCAGTTAAAGCTACGTCAAGGTACCCTCAACAGAAGGCACACCATCGAGCCTCCGAGCGACAGGCCATGGCATCCCAGTTCCGCATCATCGACCACGACAAATCCGGAGAGCTCACAAAGGACTGGGCCAAGGTGAAAATCTCCGCAATGGCTGGAACGCCCCCATAAATCGGACTTTCCGCAAAAGACAAAGCCGTTTTGCTACCGTACCGTTTTTTTTAAATATAATAAAACCCCATGAGGAAGAGTTCAACACGGCCCTGGACATCCTCTTCAGCTGCTTCCAGCTGCGCTTCTCCGCTGCGGAGAAGCTCAGCTTATTCCAGAAGTTCGACCGGGACAACTCCGGCACGGCAACTGGGATCGCTGAGGTCTGAGGTCTGTTCAGCTTCCCCTGAACTGAAGCTTTGGATTGGTGGTTTGGGATTTGTACCCCAGTTTGTGTTGAGTTCAGCTTTGGTGCCATTTCGCCTTGAGAACAGTTCTAGCCAGTTCGTCCGAACTGCCTCAACCACATGGAAGCGAAGTGGAAGATCCTGGAAGACCAAGGGCACTCTCTGCCGGCTTCATGTTCCACTTAGTTGGAGGTTTGGATTGGTTTGGGAGTTGAACCCCAGTTCCTCTTGAAACCAAATGGGGCTTTGGTAGCCCCCCACGTCCAAAGTTACGAAACCAAACCGCCAAGGAGGGGAAGCTGATATGTGGTGTGTCTGTTTTGTGTTTTGGGAGCCCCCCCACACTCCCCGCAAGAACGGTGGTCTTACGGTGGTCTTCCTGTTGGTTTTGACTTTTTGGGGGGGCCCTCCAAATGTTTGTAAGGCTTAGTCGGTGGTTTGGAGCCCGGTGGCTTGGATTTGGAGTTGAACCCTTCTTGTAGATGGGAAAAATGGGAAGCCATCTGTCAACCACCAAGCCACAAAGTCGAGGGAAGCTGGGGTGGTGTCTTCCTTTTGGTTTTGTTTACGCCGAGGCGAGGGGCTGAACTGTGGGTGGAAGACCGGTCCCAGTCGTACCAACTAAGCAAACAGGTCCCTCATCCCTAGCGGCCGAGGCCTGTATCCCAACGAAAGGTTGCTTAGAATCCAAGGAATCCTTGTAAGAATCCTCGGGATGGTGACCACTTTTTATTTTTGTGAAGTGCAGACTTAGACTACCCTTTCTAAGAACCCTCCTATAAATGTCTGTGAGAGGGGTGGCATTGGCTTCCTCGCATTTTCTCCACCAAAAATGGAGCAACAACCAAGAAGGGGGTTCCTTTGGTTTTCCTGTTCTGTGGAGGTTCTCATCGCGAATGTGCACCTCCCCCCCCCCCCCCCCTTTTTGCCCATGTGGTTTTCCGCGGCCGACCTTTTCACCTTTAGGATTTTCCAGTTTGGGCCTAGTTTTTGGCTACATCAGGTCTTCTTTGATCAGAATCGACTTGAACTATAAGAACCCTTGCAATGACTCCTCATTGATTCATGATATTTGGTTTGACACGTTACCTTTTATGCGAACCCTATGTTTCCAGCTCTGGCTGTGGAAGTGAGGTGAACTACGAGGCGTGGGTTTCCGGCCCGCATGCGCGGCCCGGCTTGGGGCAGATGTGCTTCGGTCGAGTTTTGGATGTTTGGGGTGCCGCTAAGGAGGCCTTTTTTTTGCTGGGAAACCGGTAGGACACCCTACACATAATCAGCCACACACCCGAGAAAAATGGATTTGTGGCTCATTACCCATGAAAATGACCAGTGGACTTGTTTTGCCTGTCCTATCCCCTTCGGCTTTCCCCCGAGGTGCGACAGATACTGGATCCTTCCAAGTGAACATTTTGAGGGGTTCTCAAAACCTTGCGATTTCCCTAGGCACAACTCCGGTCTCATGCGCTTTTTCCTAAACATCCAGAGGGTTCTGGATGGAGCCACGTGCCCGGGCCAGGAGTTTATCCGTGGGGTGCGCGGGAAAATGAACGACTTCCGCCTGGACTGGGTCAACCAAGCCTTCGGCATCCTGGTTTCTCGGCGCATCGAGCAGGGGTCTTCCGCTGTCGCAGAAGCTATGGGTAGCTTGTTTCTTACGTAGAATTAGCTCCCCTTTTTCTTTTCCTTCTTTTTTTGTTTTGCCTTTTTGGGTCCTCACTAACCAGGCAAGAAAATAGAGTTTTTTGCTGGGGTCCTAATTCCAGCCAAGGTTTGGGGAATGCCGGTTCGGCTTCGTTGCTTTTGCTTGGCAAGCCAGACGGTCACCAATGATGTTCTGGGCATTTCCCAATGCAGAGACAAACCCTCTCGCCCTTCTCCCGAATCCTGCAAAGACGGGTGCGTTGGGGTCTTTTTGTTGGGAACCCAAGAGAGGGAGGGGGTTAGATGATGGGGGTGGGGTTGGATCATAGGACTCTTATGTGCTTGGGCTGCGCCGTCCTGCTACAGAATTCAAAGCTCGATTTCCATCAGCTCCGGAAGCCTTACCATCCAGGTAGAATTATGACCCATCACCCAGGTGGAATGTTTATGGGTATAGGAAGCTTTCCTTTTTGGGGCCATAAAGGCAGGGAAAGCATGCCAGTCAGGTAGAGATCTGATTCCGCCATAGGACCGGGACGGCTCCGGCGTGGTCACGGCCGCCGAGATGGCGCAAACCTACGACGTGTCGAAGAACCCCGCGGTGCAGTCTGGAAAGGCGAGAGATTTCGAAGCCTTTGGGGCACTTCCCCAAAACCCCTTCTTTGTTGCCTCACTTCCTGAATTGATGGACTTCAAACGTTTTTTGGGAAGATGGTCCTGGTGGTAAGCAACAAGTCGTTTCCTTTTGGGCCATCAACTCAGGAAGTGAGTTGCAGTTTCTCTTGTTGGAACAACCAGTGGACAAGAAATCACCAGTGAGTTGATCAACTTTTGAAGGGGAAGCCCGGTGACCCTGCAGCGGGCCTTATGAGGACGTGCGAGGGTTTGGTGGAAGGAAGCCTAGTGGAATTCGAACCCTCCACTTCCCCTGCCCCCTTACAGGTCTGATGAACTTGGGGGCACAGAGAGGGAGGTACGGCCCCGCAAAGGGTCCGGTTAGGAGGGGGTTCCCAGCGGGTTTTCTCCGGGCGTGTGTTCAAGAAAGGTTTTCCATGTCTAATTGCAGTTTGAGTTGGTGTGGGTTGACATCATACCCTGAAAAATAGATTTGATCCTGAGGGAGGCCACCTACAACTACCTTCTCCCACAGAACGGCGTCTTCCGGGAACCCGTTTATTTTGAGGATTGACCTTCTGGGGGAAGGGTAGGGTTCATCAATCCGACGTTAACGTTTATTGGGATTTGATTCACGATTCAACGAAACGATTGTTTGATTGGTTGTGTCGATCTCCATGCCTATCCGGGCCCCTATGTCCCATGGAGATGCTTCACCCAAGCACACTCCCACAGCAAACTGGATCAAACAACGAGATTTGAACAGCCCAAGCAGAGAAACAGTCCCCATAATTTGGTTGGTTGGTTGGTTTGGTTTGGTTTGGTTTGGTTTGGTTTGGCTTGGCTTGGCTTGGCTTGGTTGTTTGGTTGGTTGGTTGGTTGGTTGGTTGGTTGGTTGGTTGGTTGGTTGGTTGGTTGGTTGGTTGGTTGGTTTGCAGTCCGTATGGGCAGTTTATGGGCACAAGCAACAGCTTTCGGCGACAACGCCACCACCAAAGGGCAGGTGCAGGTGGGGCCCATAGGCGCAATATCAATTCGGTGACCCTATCTTTCAACATGGTGCCCTTCGGTAAATCACACAAAAATAGGCAAGCAACAAACACACAAACCACGCGCAATGATGACGTCATGAACACCCACGCAGAACCGATTCCCATTCTGTAAGGCTTCCCCCCCCCCCGGAACGAGCTCCTTTGCTTCCTGGAGGGGCATCCCTCCCAATGGGTTTGAAAATCAATGGACATTTTTGGGGGGACGCCTTCATGTTGAAACAGACACGGGGTGAACAAAGGCACATCTTCCCTTGAAATGTGGACGTGACAGTGAAGCAAAAGACATCGGAGTGCCAAGAACAGTCAAGCAACTGCAGAAACCTTAGGACGCATCTGAAACATGGATAGTTGAACTTTTCATTGGGCTGGAATTGAAATCATTGGATTTGTTGCGTGGGGAAATGGCTCCGCCCAACGCGCCGTACTAATCAGGGGTGGTCCCGGAGGCCCGCGTCAAATGCGTCAAAGTTTGGACTTGTTTCCTATGAGTTCCCAAAAGCGGGCCCTAGTAGTCGGAGGTATTCCTTAGTCCAATGTTAGACATTATCGCGCCGCCTGTTTGCGGCACACATTAGGAGCCCATGTCCAACTCCTGCATTTCCGGCTTTTCTGAACGCTGCAAGGTGACGCCTCAGAAGGCGATGTCGGCGTTTATGCAGCACTTCGACCAGCAGCTCGGGAAAAAGCCCGGATCTCACCCAAGCCCGCGGAAAGCTTGGGGAACAACCCGAGTTGCACAACCGTAAAACGTGAAGCTAGGAGCAATTTGCTCGGAGGAACCCCTCTTTTTTAGCTGGAGGTGGAATCGGCATGGCGTTCCTTCCTGGGGTTGGCTTCCTTGAAGCCGAGGGGAATCGACATATACTAGGCTTTGCTGTTCTTGGCATGTTTTTGGGTCTTTTTGTTTTTGGTTCTGTTCATGTTTACTGGGGGTCTGCAAAAAACAAAGCTTTTTGCTACCATACCAAGAGTAGAGATGTAGGGTTTCTTGCTTGGCTCATTCGAACCTATCCTGGACCTCCAGTGGGGCACGTGCTTCCCAGCTGCTTTGGAGCAGCTTCTCTCGAAATTACCCCCCCCCCACCAATCAACAGCTAGAACCTTGACGTTCGGGAAATGGTCCCTTTCAAAGGGAAATGGTCCAAGCCAGAAGTCCCCCAACGTCAGGTTCCGGCTGTGAATTGGTGGGAGGGTAACTCCCCCAACTCCCCGGCCGCGGGAGGTCTTGGCTTTGCGCCTTTTGGGGCGTGACGGGCCCAAGCCTCTAAATGTTACAGGCTTACGAAGACCTTTTTTTTTTGGCGCCTGGCTGGGGGCACGCGGGAGCCTCCCCCAGCTGCATGACGGCTTTACCGTTCTGATTTTTTAGTGAGGGCTGCAAAGAACATGCTTCGGCTATCGCGCCACAGTGGCAGAGTGGGAGTGTTTGTGTAGCGGTTGGAGTCCTTTCTTCCAGGGGCTTGCCGCCTTATTAGGTCAAACTAGCTAGCTAGGTCTTTCGGGGGTCTTTGTGGCTTTGTGCAGGTCCTGCAGGATCCCTGGTTACCTTTCCCTTGGCCAACTCTTGAAGTGTTGGGTAAGACAAAACTACCGGCAGAGAGGCAGAGAGGAGATGAACTTCTGGTTTACGGATTTGACTGAGTCAGGTTCCTTGGAGCAACCAAGGAACTGCGATGGGACGATCACACAGGAGGAGTTCATCGAAAACTACCAGTGGGTCAGCGCGTCCATTGACAGCGTCTCGACGAAAATATGGCCAAGCCCTGCACGGGAGCGCTGCGAGCCGGATTGAACATGAAAGGCGTAACAGGAAAGTATAACGAGCATATGCGTTTGTTCAGACAAGGGGTGGGGGGGGTGGGGGGGGTGGGGGGGGGGGAGGTGGGGGGGGCGCCTGAGCAGCCTGCTATTGTGCTTCACGCTGTCTTGCTGGGCATAATATAACATGTAAAACTAGGGGGTTCTTCTGACTTCTAGTTGTCTTTGTGTTACGCGCCCCCCCTCCCCTCATGTCCAAAGCACAGCTGATCTGACAGCTTGCGCCTAGGAAGGAATGCCTAGGATAAGCACCCTAGTATTCTCATGTGGGTGTGTGTTAGAAAAGGGGCCGCTGAAAACTTATGGTGTTCCTTGGCGTTTCCCTTTAAAGCAAGGGTACCCTCCAAAAGACACACCCATCCCATGCTGCCCATGCATTCGTTTATGAATTGGCACCCCCTCAGCCAGTTCAAAAAGACAGTTATGATCAGAGCATGAAAGCCACCAAAAATAGCACTCAGTTGAAAACGGAAAATATGGTTGGGGGACGCTTCCCGGGAAAAGTGCGTATTCATGTCCTTGGAAAAACTTCCCTTTGTTTTAGGAGCTTTGTTTTTCCTTGGTGTGGTCCTGACTCGCAGGTCGGAAGGCCAACCTTTCAACGCGTTTGTTTTTTGGTTCTTGCTGTTCTCTCGTCGGGATTGCACTTTCAAAAAACAAACCACGTATTTCCTTGCCTTGGCAAGCGACCCCAGGAAAGAAAATGGTAATAGGAAACTAAAAGTTAAACTTTTAGCAGGGGAGCAGAAAGCAACCAAGTTTATATTATATTACCTTCCTGTTTATCTTACATGTTAGTCTTCCAGACCCTGGCTGCCGGAGCCTCCGGCAAGTCCCTGATTTCTCTCGCAAGGCGATGACTACTTCGAGCTTATGATCCGCAACGCCTGGCACATCTCCGGAGGCGCGCGTTGTTTTTCAAGCGCGTCGTCGTTCCTGCGTTACATGTCTCGGGGGCAGAGGAATTTTGGGGTGGGGAACGGAGTTTTAGTTCGGTGCAACTTCTTCGAAGACACCAGGAAATAACCCCTGGCGAGATCGTCGCAGGGATGACCCGCCTTTTGTCACAAAAATACGATTTCTCGCAAAGACATGATTCTCAAGCTGGTTGATGAACATACCCGCCCGCCAGCTAACATCGAGGCTGATTGCAGGTTCCATGTCGAAATGATGCTTGGGCGGAGCAGGTGGTTGAATCCAAATTGGGGGAGCACCATTGCTTCCATTTGCTTAAGAATATTTTTTTTATGTTTCTCTGTTGGTTTTAGAGGGAATCGATCACTACTGGAAATATTTCTATTTTTTCCAGGGGTCTTAACCAAATGGAGGATTGGCTTATTCTATTGGCTGCCATTTGGATCAGAATGCGAAGGTTGAAGCCAGGCAATTCTGATAATCTTTTTGTGAGTCCATGTCCAAGGGGCTGAGTGGCTTTAGTATTGCCAGTACCTGGCGCCGTGGTGTTTTGCTCGTGCATGACCTTTTCCTGGCTTCACTCGGGCCCGTTCAGACTAGCGCCGAGGTGAGCGCAATTCTCGGCTGTTGCGCTATGTGGGGCTTGTCTCTCAGGGCCCCTCCCCCTATTGGCGTTTTATATCTAAGTCCGCTGGGGCCAGTATTTTCATGGTTGCTAGGGCCAGGGTGGTCGAAGTCAGAAAATGAGGCTGTACCGTACAACTTCGGGGGGGTGACTTTGGCAGGGTCCCTATAGGACACACGTGCGACAGTTTGCAAATGACTTTTACCGGCTGATTTCCAGGATCCCCCTGTAAAGCAAGCAGTTTCTTGAGAGGCTCCTTTGAAGAAATCCATGTTTGACGGCAGCAAGCCAGACCCAGGGGCCCACTTGAGCCCCGGAGTCAACGGAGTCAACGGGTCCAGGCGAAGGATGGTGCGCGAACACCTCCAACTTGCGAGTCCTGGTGAAGCATCACCGGGCCCAGGATGAGGCGCTGGGCCCATCAGTCGAGTCGAGTTGATTTGTGGGCATGGAGTGTCGATGCCCGTTTGAACATCTGCGTGTGTGTGTGTGCTATGTGCTATGTGCTATGTGCTATGTGCTATGTGCTATGTGCTATGTGCTATGTGTGATGTGTGATGTGTGATGTGTGATGTGTGATGTGTGATGTGTGATGTGTGATGTGTGTGTGGTGTGTGGTGTGTGGTGTGTGGTGTGTGGTGTGTGGTGTGTGGTGTGTGGTGTGTGGTGTGTGGTGTGTGGTGTGTGGTGTGTGGTGTGTGTGTGTGCGCGTGTTTTCGTGTTTTCGTGTTTGAGGGTACCCCTTGTAGGGTTGGCTCAACAGGAGCCAAAGGGACACCATGATTTTGGTGTTATTTTGACGTGTGTGTGCCTTTGAGGGTGCCCATGTGTTGGGTTGGCTCAACGGGAGCCAAAGGGACACCACCATTGTGGGAGTGTCTCTATCTTGGCACACCACATGGAGTGGTGTCCCTTGCTGTACTGCTCTCCCACTACGGGTTGCACATTAGGATTAGGGATGCCCCCATTTGCGAGTGTATGTATGTGTATGTGTGACTTTTTTGAGGATATCATCCTTTTTGAGGTTCGTCGGGCATCAAGGGGGACTTCCCTTGCTTTTTCCCTTGCTTACCTTCGTCCTTGTCACACCTGTTTTGGAGGGCGTCCTTCCATTTTGGACAACTTCGTTCAGCTCCCGGACTGCGGCAGGTGGTGTGCGTGAAGAACGACCTGGGCCTGCCACGTGATCCCGCCCTGCGCACCCAGGAGGTGATCAAGCGCTTGCGCATGCAGGGCGTGCCCTTGCCGCAGACGTGCCCTTCCTTCAGTTTCGATTCAAAGAAGAGTGATGGGACCATAGACGGCACTGAACGTTCGCTTATTCGTCACCAAATGGCTCCCCTTGCTATGGCCACCGTCTCTTGAGGGCTCGAGGCTCGGTCCAGTTCTCCAGCTTAGCAATTCGGGACTCAGCAACTTCCCTTGTCCAGTGGAAATTTTGACCGTGGCCTTTGTTGGTTTCAGTGTTCTTGCAGTTTGATCTTTCTCGTGTAGGGGACCCCCCCCAAAAAAAAAGGAGAGAGAAAAGGTGGTTTTCCAGCTGAATCAGCTTTTCAAACCGCCTTGTTAAGGGTAGCCTCAAAAAAGACGAGCCACCCATGTCGTCTTCTCTTGGGTCGGTTACAACCGTTGCTCGCGTTTCGAGAGGCGACTGGCCACCTTCGGTTCGTTGGATGGTGCAAATTGTTCGCCTCACTTCCTGAGTTTCCAACTTTCGTCACTTGATTGGGTTTGGACCATACCTGGACCTTCCGGGGGTCCAGAATATTAGGTGTTGGCCAAAAAGCACGTGTTGTTTTGCGTTTGGTGTGAAAATATGCTTTTAGGGCGAAACAACGCCGGCGGTCATGTTTGTTTGCGCCGCGGTCGGGAATGTTTGCCTATTGGTCGGGAACTTTCGCCTGTTGGTCGGGAATTTTCGCCTGTAGATTCGGGGAGATTGCGCTTAACACCCAAATTGAGCAAAAAAAGCCGTAGGCAAAAAAAACACGCGCAATTGCCCCAAAAAGCAATTCGTACGAAAAGGCGGAAATTTTGAGCATGCAGGAAGATCTAGGTATTTCGGGGGTACATAAACCATTTGGACTGCTTTTCTTTTGGAATGTTAGGGGTAAGGAAACTGTTTTTTTGGCCGGTCCACTCAGGAAGGATTTTTCCCCTTCCCCGACTTTTACTTGCCAGGGAGTTGTACCTTCACCCTGGAGTCCTGGAGTTCTCCAGTGGGCTCTTGAGTTTGTGAGTTCATTACTCGACAGGGCCACTACGAGCCACAGCTCAGGGGCCATAGAGCTGGAGGGTATGTGACATGTCAGCAGTTCCAAGTCCGTCTCCCGTTGTTCGACACCCTTGAACTATATCCTTTCGCAGGGGTGCCCCAACCCCCTTTTCGGATTAGTTTTTTGGGTCACTGGGCAACATGAAGCACACCCACTGGCTGGTTTGCTAGCGTCATGCTTGGAGTGCCGGGCGTTTGCCCCGCGCTTTTGAGGTGTCAGACATTGCGAAGATTGAGCGCCATGTCTGCAAAGCTCTGCCTTTCTGTGCGCGGGTAGGGGACTACATACCAAACTCATGTCCCCGGTTGCTGGGCTGTATCGTTTGAACAGTCAAACACTTTGAACTCCTTCTGGCGCCAATAAAGGACGCCAGGTCGAAGGAAGCTGCGTGCTGGCGGGCATGCAAGCTTTGGCAAGAAAATTAAGAAGGGCATTGTTTGGAGTACCCGTAGGCTGAATAATTGTTCTTACTTGCCCACAGCCGACCTTTTGACCTTTGTTTCCTGTTTGGTCTATTTTTAGTCAGGGTTCCAAAAGCTTGATCCTTTTTGTCCAGGTCCTTTGGGCCAGTAAGTGCCACATTTTAAAACTTCTAGCATGTCTTGTGTTGTTCTATCCTTGCTGTCTTTGTTCAGGTATGGTTCCCGCGTTCAGTTCATTGAGAAGATAGGATGGTGGACAAGGAGGGTCTTGTTCATGCAGCAGAAGATGTGCATTTGGCACAGGCCACTGCAAACGGAGTGTAAGCGTTTTGCACCACCGAAGCACCAAATGTTGATAAGTGTGTACTTCATGTTTTCCGCGCAATGCAAGCCATTTGACGAAACGGTGATCGCGATCGGACATGCTATTCTTACATTGGAATGTTCATCATGCATCTTCTGCTGGCCATACATATGCATGGCAATTTCGGCTTTTGGAAATGGCAGGCAGTGGGCCAAGCGTTGGCACGTTGACGCGGCCGGTGGACGTTTGCTTGCTCAGCATGCGGTTTGACGCCTTGTCCTAGCCCCGAATAAATTCTTCCGATCTGTGGGGGATTATCAGGTCTTCCCATCTGCGCGGCATGCCCAGGTTTTGCGGCTGAAGTGAGGCGGCAGAGACCTGATGTTTCAAGTGGTCCGGGGGTTGTAAAAGTTTTTGGCCCGTTTTTGCCCCGCTTTGCCAGCCCGTCGTTTGCCATGATGCCGCATTTGTGCTGTTCGCCAAATGTGGACGACCACGTGTGCAAATGTGAAAGTGTACAAGCCGAAAACGGGCCGTGAATTTTGACAACCGCCCCTCCAGTAGTACAGCACACAGGCAATGTCCACCCGTGCTGCTAGGTTGTTTGCAGCTGGACTGACTTTTGATTCCTCTTGCCCTTGCTGCTTTGCGCGCAAGGTTGTTATAGCCCGCGACCTCCAGTGGTGCACTTCTTTTGGTTTAGGGGAGTTCTTCTTTGAAATCCAGGAGCCAACAAAATCCGGCGCCAGTTTCCCTACTGGAGGTCTGGGAAGCTCGTGGGTAAAGCGGTAATGGCGACCAGAGGGAAGCCAATGTGAACATGCGCCTGTTGCACACAAGGAGCAAGTGATTGCTGGTTCTCAGGGAATGAGGGAACGACCCATATAAACCATCCTTGGTGGGATTCTTTCTGGGCAACCCTTAGGTTCATTCCGAAACCCTGGGTCACCCCCTACTGAGAGCCAGCAAGCTGATTGGGGCATGAGAAAAGCGCTTTGAAGTTCGATTGATCTCGTTGGCCGGGATGTCCTTTGAAATTGGATTGCATTTTCAGGTTCGCTATATGTTAGGTGGGGGTAAGCATCAAGTCGATTGAAGACATGAAGGAAGAGGAGTTAGGGGGTTGAATCCCATGATTGATTTGCCGTAAGCACGCCTAGGCTGTATGATGTTGGAAGTGAGCCTCACCCACAAAGAAACGTACGCATGGGCATCCCCCAATTTCTCAATAAATGATTGTTAGTTTATGAAAACAGCGCACAAGATGTATGAAGGGGGCGTGACAGCGCTGTATTCCTAGTTGGGGGTTTGCTATTAGCATTTTGGAGCGAATTCATGGGTGCCAGATCAACAAATGCATCTTGGGTTTGGGTTGGTTCCCACTTTAGTGCGGTATCGCCACAGTGCTTGGCCGCCTCAATTTGGTTAGATCATGTTAGAATAAGGCGGTTATAAACCCAACTTACCTGCCCCTTACGCACCCTCCAAACTCCTAAACAGAGGGCGTTCAGTGGGCCATGTAGACAACCCTGGACCGTCCCTTGCCAGGCACAAGTCGCCAACTCACTGGCTGAGTTATTGGACTGTAGTAATTCTTTGGGATGATTTGTGTGGCAAACAGTTTGGCCATTTTCTCCCTTTGGCGTCCTCTTCTCACGCCAGTGGACACACTTTACACTTGTTTTTCCCTTGGTGGCTCTCCCTTTATTCTAGTGGTGGCCCAACAAGTGTACACTTTTTTTGGTTTGGTCACTGGCCGAGTGAGTCTTCATGTTCCCTTTAAAGTTGAAACCACCAGGGAGCCAGCTCCTTTCGCATGGGGTCCGATCAGTCAGGCCAAGTCCTGGAACAACCCTTTGCCGCTGCCATTTCAAGGAAACAGCGTGGCGTTTTCTTCGGCTGCGTCGGCATGGTATCCCTGTGCTGTTGGCTGCCGTGCCGCGCATGGCAAGCTCGGACCCGGCCGATTTGTCAATGAGACTCAGCGGCATGTTGTGTTTCTTGTTTTTGCTGCCTTGCAAATGAACATGACACCCAAAAAGACGTTTCATTGAAAACCACCGGCTTTTGGGATCCATGTAAACTTGCAGGGACGTTTGTTCTTTGTTTAATATGGCAGAGACAATGAGGAGATACGGCTAAGTTTGTGTTTCGGGACTTGACCTACGATGTAATTATATTCTTTGCGTCCACCAGATAGGCGATGACTGCAGCAGGGCGCTATTCTTCCTCCTTTCCGAAGGTCTGGAGATTTTGGGCCCCTGCTGCGTGCCCGAGCTGTTGGTGAGCCTGGGCATGTGCAATCGCAGGTGGGGAAGCGAAGAAATCCCCAACTCAACCAAAAGGGCGACAAAAGGCGATTCCTCTTAGATTCCTTTGGGGTTTTCCATGTAAGTCAGAATATTGAAACAACCAGTAGTTCTTTCAGTTGTTTTTCCCCACCCGACAGCGTAAGCTCGTGAGTGTTGAGGGTGGGGATTGCTCGAAGCGAAGTATTTTTTGTATTTTTGGTTTTAATACAAGGGCTCGTGATGTTCTTGTTTGTTTTTCTTCCTGGTCAATCTGCAGGGGCCGTTTGTTCCTGGGACTTTTCAGGCTGAGGGCCGCCATCCTCGCGGACTGCGGCTTCGAAGGCACGCGGCAGCTGGCCTTTGCGGCGGCGGCGGGGCATCTCTGCCAGCGGGGGAACTTCATTTACTTCAGCGCCTTGGTCCAGGTTTCATGGGGGCGGGCGGGGAGGGAGGGGAGGGAGGGGAGGGAGGGGAGGGAGGGGAGGGAGGGAGGGGAGGGAGGGGAGGGGAGGGAGGGGAGGGGGCAGGGGGGGGGAGCCTCTTTGAGCCTCCCTCCCCCTCCCCTCCTCCCGCCCAGCCCCCATGAAGATGTGTTGTTGCATTTCTTAGATCTGCCCTCCCACGAATTATCAGCAGGAACCTGACGTCCGGGGTACCGTCTTCCCTTGACAGCCGTCGTTCGGTGTTCGGGAAATTGTCCCTTGAAAATGAACATCATCCTCCAGGAACCCCCGAACGTCAGGTTCGATGTTAGTTGGTGGGAGGGTATGTGGATGGACTTTGTTCCAAGACCGAGAGAGCATTAGTTCGTTCGTCGTGCACTTGGATGTGTTTTTGGTTGGGGGAGCCCTTTTTTTGGGGGTGGTTGTAAGGGAAGTCAAGGGGAACACCACCCATTTTAAGGGTTCTCCTATTTTGAGACCGATCATTGTTTGGTCCTGGTAGATGAGGAAGTCCGTTTAAGACTTCATTGCAATCCACCCACGAGCATGTACCATTTGTCCAGATCCTTTCAAGTGAGTCTCACCCCGTGAAAGAGGTTTGTTTATTGTTGTGTCTTCAAATAGGGGCCCCAGGGCATGGCTGCCTCTCTAAGAGCTTGCGCGCATACCCCGAAATCGCAAGGCCCAAACAAGTTGACTATACAGTGGTGGTGGTGACAGCCGACCTATTCTCAGAGCTTTGCGAAGTGCCAGCGGCACGTGACAGATGTCAATCTCCGCGGAGCCTGCTGGCCAAGCAGCTAAAGCTAGCAAGGCTTAGGCTCATGTTGGGTTGACTTGAGCAAGGCACGGAATCGTTGGGCTCCATCAGGTTGGTTGCGCAGAGACCTCCGCGGCAAGCTTCAGCTTGAGACTGCTTGTGTGATTGGCAGACACCCCAATGCTGGCCTGCGTTCGCACCATCTGAGTCTGATGCATTGCTTTGCAGCGCCGGCAGTGCTGCTGCGCAGGTCTCTCGCTAAGGCCGACAGGCGTTTCTCCAGCATGTGGTGCGGTTGCTGGCTTCGGCCCAAGACAGCTCAGAGGTGGCACTCTAAGAGTGCGACGCCAGCAGCCCTGCTTGAGTTGACGACGCAAGCGCTCGGATGGCAATCCTTTTGGCTTTGCCATCAGAAACCGGTGTTGAGGCAACCGGCCTGTCCCCAGAGCTTTGCCAAGTTCCAGCGGCACCTGGCAGGAGTCAATCCCTGCGGAGCTTGCCAACAAGCCTTAGGCCCATTTGCATTGCAGGGTCCCAGTGTATTCTAGGGCCTTTCGCTTTGAACTGGGGTAGCGCTAGATGGATGGCATTATGAGGAGCATCATGTCTTTTTCCCTTGAGCAAAGCACAGAATGGTTGGGCCCAGTTCGCTTGGTTGCACCCTGAGCTCCACGGCAAGCTTCAGCTTCAGACTGTTGGTGTGGTTGGCAGAGAGCAACGCTGGCAATGCTGGCCTGCGCGGGTGTTCTCACCTAGGTGGTTCGAGGTTGCACTGCGGATGCTCAACGAAACCGGGCCTGCTTGCGGTGACGGGCTCAGTGATTCTCGCCCCCTTTACTTGTCTGTTCCCGTTGACCTAAGCTTTTAAGCTGCTTGAAACGAGATTCTCCGTTGGGTGCCAGGAGTAGCACTAGATCGCATGGTGAGGCGTGTCATGTTGGGTTGACTTTAGCAAAGCAAGGAGTCGTTGGGCCGAGTCAGCTTGCATGCGCCCAGAGCTCCATGGCTAGACCTATGCCGAGAGGTTTGCGAAGTTCCAGCTGCACGTGGCCGCGGTCAGGTTTTCAAGCAACCAGCTCAAATTGACAGGGGTCAGGCATTCGAATGGCAGTACGTCCTTGCCATTTGGAAGTGGCGAACCATTCCCAGAGCTTTGAAGTTCCTGTTGCAGAACCTGACCGGAAAGCTAAGGCTGAGACTCTCAGCACACCGTCACGAGCTGGACGGTTTCTGTGTTTTTTTCTCGGTGAATTTTGATTTGCCCGGGCAGTTCTAGATCAGCAGCAGTCAGCCTCATAAGGAAAGACCGGTCGTTCACGCTCGAGCAACCGCGTAGAACGGCGCCTGAGGCCGTGGTGGGGGCGTGGTGTGCCGGGAGTCGCTGGACTTCCTCTCGCGCGCCGCGCGGGTGGCCAAGCGCTTCCGGGCGAAGGTCCACATTGACGCCCACGCAGGAGAGCGGCGAAGCGCGAAGCCAGGCCGCCAGGCGAAACGAAGCGAGGAGGCCAGGCGAAGCGACGAGGCCACCAGGCGAAAAGAAAAACCATACCGGGTCGGTCAAAGCAAGTAAGCTCGGTTCCATCAACTGAAATGCTATTGCCACGTGGTATGCCTCCAAAATTAGTTGATTATATTTTGCGACAGGTGAAGCGTTGAGGCTTACCGACTTCTTGTGCAAGTGCTGGGTACGGTCAGGAGTTATCAAGGAAGTCTTTGCAACGTAGTAAAGGCGGAGGTGGGGCGAGGTAGGTTGAAGGTGGTGTTGTTTTGCCTGCCAGGTATTGAATTGAAACCCAAAGCAGGTAAGAAAATGCACTCCAAGACTTTGAAAAGCAGAGTGCCCCTATGAAAACCCATACGTCGCACTGCTTTACTTCTTGGGTGGCGTTCGGCAGGGTTACAGCCAGGGTTGCGCAGGTTTCTTTAGCCGGCGTTGCCCCCACGACAGGGCCCACACACAAGAGGTGTTTTAAACTGCGGCTGTTGAAACACATCTAAACAGGGATGGTTGTTCAAACAACTCTGCAAACCCTGCTTTCCTAGTACTCCCAGCACCACCCCCAATGTAGCACTTTCCCATGAAGGTCACACATGGCTCGTGAATTGTTGGGCAATGATCTTGTTGCCATGGTGTCTTCCCTCCACACTTTTCGACTTGGTGTGGGATTCCTAAACCTGGCATTGGGTCTCAAGTCTGAAAAAGAAAAACCTCCCCCGCCAGGAGTCCACGCACCTGGACGCCTGCTGGCGAAGAGCGTCTCGGAGACCCGGGTCCAGGCAGTGCTGCTGAGCCTGGCGCATGAGGGCCTGTCGGCCACTTGGCCTGAGATGTTGACGAATCCTTGCGGTTTTTGTTTTCCCATGGCCACTGGAGGTCTAAAAAGGCAACGAAGTGCCTGTGAGACAAGCCTTGTGAATTCAGTCTGGTTGCGAACCATGGGAAGCAAGTTGCAGAATGCAGTTAGCGGTGCTCCAGTTGTTCACTCTCACTCAGCAAATCCCTTTTGGTTGTTACTTTCTCTCAGCCCTTCAAAATGGCCGGACGGGCAGGTCAGTTGCAACTGCCACGTTCATTCAGTGTTTCTCAAACTGGTGTTCCCTGTTGGGAAGTGATCAATTCGAGGAGTTTGGGATGGTCTGGAGCTTGACCGAGGGCCGACAAAAGGGAGGCTTCCAAATGGAACAAGTCCCTGGCTGAAGGTAGGGGAATAGCTCCATACAGGGGAAGGACTTGGGGCATCCCCCACCCCTGTCCCCTTTAAGGCAGCCCGAAACAGTGCCCGGTAGCCATCACCCGGAGGCAAAGGAAACCCTTGCGGAAAGATGCGCATTTCTTCACTGAAAGGTTCACCCCAAAACCTTGCCAGACACCTTTTTTTTGGTTCAAAAGGGGAAAACCACTGCTTTATGGTGGGTTTGGCTCGGGACGCAAGCAGAGGCCAGCCAAATCACCTTCACCGCCTGGGGTAAAGAGATCGCCTTGGCCTGGCCGGACGAGTGCATGGCGGGGGGCCGAGCGGGCTTGAGGCTCTACTCATAGGTGTCTTTTCGGGTTTGGCTAGAAATAGATGGGTTTCACTGGTTTAGGTAGGACTCACTTCATTTACCAGGGCCGTCTATTTTTCCAACAGGTCAACTATGACTCACCTAAGGTGCCCGTGTTTCCATGACTTTTTTTAGGGGGAGGGCGGGAGGGCGGGAGGGGGGGAGGGCGGGGGGGGGGGTGCTTGAATAAGGGCTCCCCCCCTTTTCCTCATGGCCACTGGAGGTCTTGTGCGTTTGCTTTCTTAGGGTACCCTCGGCACATCGACTTGAAGGGAAGCCAAAAGGATAGCCGCTATTTTGACACGTGCTCCTTAACCTCATGCGCGGCTTCTCCTGTTCCTCTTCAACCTTTCGACATGCATCACTAGCACCAAGTCCCGCGTTTGCGGGAATTCGCTGGGCTTGGTTGGGGGCATGGCTTTGGTTAAATGGGTTGGCCCTTAGGCTGGTGGCAGGCTTTTTGAATCAATCCTAGATGTTGCTTTTCCCGAAGTGCAGCGCCATAATCTAAACTAGACATGTGATCTTAGATCGGGGGTCAAAACTGAGGACGACTGTTGCGATACCAATGGAACTGAAACGACCTTCTGGCTTTCTGTGTCTTGGTGCATATGCCAAGGTCCCGAAAGACAATCGCCACATAAGGCCCTTTGGGCCACAAACAGCTCCCTACTATGGGCATCCCTGAGTGGAGTCAAGCTGAACTGAGCTGTTCAGTGGGTTCTGCACTTTTTCCATTTTGGTTTGGGGTTCTCTCTTTTTCGAAGCTTCGAACGGACCCGGAATGGAACAAAGGGGTGACATATGCGTAATTAAACGCTCTTTTGAAGGGCACTTTAAAGGAGGTTCTGTCATGATACCATGGAATTGATCTGCAACCATGTCTGCGGGGAATGGCTGAGAAAACGCCCCCAGATTTGCCCACCAGGCGCGTGCCGAGCTCTTCTTCCAGCTGGGCGGCCGGGAAATCCCGCCGCGGCCCCGCTACTACCAGAGCCGAAGCTGCGAACTCCGCGACGGGCGCCTGGGACGGGAGCCGCCAACGCGACCCAAGAAGCGAGTTCTGGGCCCAGTAGCCAGTGAAGTACAAAGAAAATACACTGAGAAACACGTATTCTGTACAGGAGGACCTCACACTTTTCTTGCAACACAGCCAATCTTGCAAAGCAGTTGCGCGCACCAGGGCCGTCAAAGTGGCGAGATCTCAAAATTGCTTCTCTCAACGGTGTCCCATGGAAGGATTCCATGCGGGCAAAAATTGCACTTTAAAACATGCATGGAAGGGGCCGCCTCTCGTGTTTTTGGGGGTGGGGATCATTGGTTGCAACAGCGAATCGACCTGAAAGCACTTGGGGTAATCCACAAAAAGGAGATGATCACTCCCAAAAGGGGATCTGTTCTTTTTACCCAGCTTAAAGGGGGCCGTGTCTGCCCTGCTCACCAGCAGCCAAGCTGTGAATCCAGATCTGGGCCGAAAACGTCAGGGGCTTTTCGTCAAGGATAGATAGTTGTGAGCATATTAGGCCCTGGGGGGCGGGGGGGAGGGGGTGACCATATTTATATATATATATATATATACAAGATACCCTCGCATCCACTAGCTGGGGTGTGCTGAAGATCCATCTTAGTGGACGGAAGAACAACCCCTGATTTTGAGGCCCATGTGCTGTGGACGGCTGTGGAGATGCTGGATCCGCTTGCAACTGCATGGCTGCTGGCTGTTCACAAGGCCAACCATCTACTAGATGCCCCCTCAACGTCTTTTTGAAAAAATCAGATGACACCCATGCAAAGGGACACACAGCTGTTTTGATCAAACAGCAGGGGCATGGCAGGCTGCAACAGCCTCATGAAGAAGTCTCATAGTTTGCCTGTTTGGTTTATGAAACAGCCGGGTTTTGCAACGCAAAGGCCATGGAACACACCCACCTTGGGGATAACCCGGTCCTCAAGAGGGCCCGATGGTTCGTCCAAGGCTCGAGACGGCGGCGGCTTGACCGGTCCGCTCCCCCCGCTCGTCGAGACCTGGGACCAAACGCGCGAAAGTTGCAGCCGAGCCAGAGAAACGTGGAAACACACATCGGAACCCCCCAACAGATTAACGGACGGAGCCCAAAAGCCACCCATGTCATTTCCGGGGGTAGCCTTTGTTACGTGTTGTGTGCTTTCACGCTTCTTTTCCCCAGCTGAAACTTTCAGAGTTTGGTCCTTGGAGCTCCGAGTGTCCAGCGGCATAGCCGTCCCGGGAATTGGTTCTCGCGCGGGTCAGATCCTCGCGGAACCCTTATACCCTTTGTACCGTGGGTGTCCTCTTTTGGTACCCCCCGTAGGTGACTCGGCTTTTCACCGCAGCCAGAAAGGAGCTGTTCCAGGTTTTGGACACCCACATGTGCCACGGAAAAACAAAAACGGCTGAAGTTCGGATCAGATCTCTTGATGTGTAGAAGCAACCAAAGGACTCGTGCTTTTCCATGACATGAAATTCAACCCCCTCAGGCTGGCTCCGCTTTGTGCTTCGCTTGGAATCCGGAGCCAGCCTGGCTTTGAGGCATTTGGCCTAGCCAGTTGCTTGTCCTCAGGGAATCGAATAAAAGGGTTGAAGATAAACTAATTCACCGCTACTCCTATGGCTACATTTGCTTTTGAAGTGCCCAAGTACATTTTGTGACATTCTCATGATTTAGGCCCCTATAGGAAGTCATCCAAGTGTTGGCAAGTGGCGGTGTTGGTTCGCAGCCTTCTCCGTCTTTTCCAGGGATCCAATTTGTCCGACCACCAACCCTGCGCAACCACCCTGAAAAAAACCACGGTTGAAAAAGAATGGGGCTCACCCCACTAGAGATCCGGGAAAGTGGTAACCTGGTTTCCCATATTCCTTAGGAAGCTTCCCCTGAGATCCCAGAAAAGTGGTTGCAATTTTGCCTGGCACGCTCCTACTGTATCTTCCCATATTCCCTTGTGACAAGCAGGTGCGAAGAATACCTTCCTTCAGGAAGGGTCAAGACCTGGCCCCAGGGCCCATTCGGCAGAGAGAAAAGCCGAGGAGTGCGCGCTCGTAGGATAAAACGCGCGGCGGAGATTCCAAGACTTGCAACTTTTCGCACCCATCAAAATGGCATAGAAGACTAGTAGTGCCCGTTCTCGCCGTTTCTTTGTTGGGAGAGGGATCCCCTACTAAAATAGACTTTGCTATGCAGAAAAAGGGTGCCCTTATTCTAACCTCTCTACTGGAGGACCTAGAAGAGCTCTGGAAGGTGGCAGTTGTCTGCAAGAAGTTGTTGCCCCCCTAGCTCCCTGAAGCTGGTCTTGCTGTTCCCTGCTTCCAGTCTTCTCCGGAACAATGGGCATTGTCACATTTTGAACGCTGTGTTCAGGGGCGGTGCCTGGCAAAGTAATTGAATGTGCACCAAACAGTGGGCGCATGGTTTCCCATGGAATGAACTGTCAGAAACCACGCTTGAACAATGCAGTTGCAGAGTCGTCCATGCATCGATTCCTGTGAAGCAATAGCAAGCACAATCAGGAGCACCCCCCCAAATCGCTCAGCATCAAAAAAGGCGCAAAAAGTTCAAACAATGTTTGGTTATCAAATTTGGTAGGTCAGAACATGTGGCCCTAGCATGCACAGATAAAACTGGACTCCGGAACGTCACTTTTTGTGCAACATAAACCCGGACAAAACTGGTCTCCAAATTATGTTGCTGGTATTGAGTTTCATCGGCCCGGCCCAAAAGCATCGATGTCGCGACCAGCCAAAACCACAGTTTGCATGGGGAACGATCCTAATAGAAAAATGCTTGGTTTTGGGTACTCTCCTTGGGTATCACTCACAAGGAAAACCACAACCACCTTTCTGCAGACCTGGTTGCAAGTGGACTGGTGCCAAAGGATCTGTATCATCGGTCTCGCTTTGGCTCAAGCTGAATAGTTTCAACAGCAAAGCGAACGGGATCATATTGTTGTATGGCTCCAAGGGTTTAAGGCTTCGCAGAAAGGCACGGGTTCCCGAATAATATTCAATCAAGGCTCAAGTTACATGCTTGTGTCTCAGATTCGTGCTTGGCAGCTTGAATAATTACGCCCAGAAGAGCCTTCCTGCGCCATGAAGGTGGATGTTCACTTGCCCAGCGGGGATGGTTGCTCCATAGCAGTCTCACCAGCAACACCCATTAGGGAGCTGAGGGCTACAGCGCAGCAGCAATTCAACCGTCACGTAAAGCTCCTTGCGAAAGGCCGGCAGCTCGATCTGGCGGCCACACTGACAAAAGACGGATTGCGAGACGGGGACATGCCACTGGTAAAGCCTTTGCCTTGCATGCCCACGGGAGCGAGCTTGTGACCTGGGGCGATCCATTTAATGGCGGAGACAGCTGCCAAGTGCAAGAGCAGCTGAGGAACGCCCAGCAAATCCCAGCAACTGTCGGTGCTTTCGCTGCCATCCTTGAATCTGGGACTGTTGTCAGCTGGGGTGGTGCAGATTTCGGCGGAGACAGCAGCCAGGTGCAAGAGCAGCTGGGGAACGTTAATCACATCCAAGCAACTGCCGGTGGTGCTGTTGCTGCCATTCTTGAATCTGGGGCTGTTGTGACCTGGGGTGCTCCAAACTACGGTGGAGCCAGCAGCTCTGTGCAAGAGCAGCTGCGCTTGAGTTTGGGGTTGTACTGACATCAGCGCAAACCTGGGGCGCAGGCGTTCTTAAAGAATGAGGCCACTGGTGAACTCAACAACAGACCCAGCCCAACAGGGAGTCCGAGAAAAGGATGTTCCTCTCAACGCATCGTTTTCGCCTTGTCAGCCTTGGAGTCACGGGACAAAGTCAAAGACAGCGACAGGCAATGAGGGAATGATCCTAAACTGAACCATCCCCTTTGACCCTTTGCTGCAGGGATCTCAAAGGTTAAGAAAGAACACATGGATTTCAGCGGTTTCACTTTGGTTCCAATCATGTACAATCTACTTGCCAAAGAGGGTGCCGGTTGGGTGTCAGAGCAACATAGAGCAGCTATTTTTGCGCTGCCTTTGTTGCTGGGAATCCGCGTTGGGGCGAAAAGGGAAACTAACGGGAAATCCCTCACTTGGGCCCGTTTCGGCTATGGCAGGTTGGTTTTTTCCAGCTATTTTGCGTCAGCCGAAATAGCGCCCCAAGGCTAAAGCATAGGGCACGTATCACGAGCATCGCCACATAGCCGCACCCAACTGCTCAAAGAGAAGCCGAGTAGCCTACCAGAAATCTGTTTTTATAGCCTTCGTGTACCCCCAACCCAGTTGTTGAGCGGATTCTACCTTTAGTTTCTCTGATTTGTTGTTGGTGGGTTCCTTACCACACCAAACAAAAAGGTTCCCGTTGTCCACCAGCGTCATAAATTTGTTGATCTTTGTAAATCTGTTGCAGGACAAGCTTGCTTTGTGGTTGAAGGAATGTGCTGTTGGTCTTTGTGCTGAGCTTCCCGTGGCCATGCCTTGCTGCGCCGCCTTGCTGCCGTCATGCTGGCGACTGCGACGAAGGGGGCCGCAGCCCATTTGCACATGCCGCTCGTGCGAATTTTGCACGGCTTGCAGATTTGAGCAAATGTGATTGAACAACTGCCCCCTGGAAGAGAAATGAAGAGGGGTTGCTCGCACAACAGTGGCTCTCCATCAGGTTGTAGCTAAGGCTTGGCCCTGGCTCCTGGAATGCCCCCTGCAACATGACCCCAAAGTAAGCTGGTTCCTTGCACGGGCTCAAGTCAAAGCTATGGAGCCTAGGAGGGAATTGGCGCCAAACGACTTGGATTGGGTAACCTCATGTAGGACTTGTATGTGTTGCCAATTTTCTCCGGAAAATGCATGCATTTTGTGGAGGCTACATGTCTCTATCTTAACATCTTTGCGGGCGATGTTCAGGGGTTGGACCTGGACATGTCCTTTTGCAGAAAAGAGGTTTGGTTACTTATGCAGGGGTAGCGTTCCCATTCTTTCCAAGATCCTTCTTTTCAAGAAGCCATCAAAAACCCAGGGAAACAGCCGGTTTTTGAAACAAATGGGAAATCCACGCCTAGAACTTATGCATGTTGTAGGGCTTGGGCTTGGTTGAAGCGGTTCGCCTCCCCACTAGAAATGACTGAGGCGCAGAGGGGGCCATCGCAGGGTGTTGTTTGAATATCTCTCTGTCTCTCTCTCTCTCTCTCACTTTCTCTCTCTCTCTCTCTCTTTCTCTCTCTTTCTCTCTTTCTCCCTCTCTCACTTTCTTTATCTCTCTCTTTTTTGTCAAACTACATGCTTCACTTTGCACTCTTGTTGCATGTATGTTCACTACCGCAGGCCTTGAGCTTACTACTCCGCATGAGTCAAAAGGTTGGCAGCTGCAGACTACATTGGTTGACTGTCTGTTTGAACACTACAGCACTTGCACTTGTAAGCAAAGTAACCACCGATTTTAACGTGGTAGCGGAGCTGAGATGCTAAACATAGGGGAGCTCCAGTAAGCAGTAAGTACTACAACAACAGAGCAACAGCAGCTACATGCCAAACTACTACGACATGTCAGGAGAAGCAGCATCAGCCTCAGCACAACAAACTACAGGAGCAGAGAACGGGCCAACAGCAGACACAGTAGGAGCCACGACTACGGGAGCAGGAACAGAACAAGACAACGACGTTCAGAGACTACATAGATACAAACTGCCACCACCCTTCTTCACTGGTGACTACTCCCAGTATGAAGAATGGCTGTTCAAGCTACAAGCATACCTCGGCCTCATAGACCGAGACTTCGACCTGGTGCTACAACTAGCACAAGTGGCTACACGACAGATTGAGGACACAGACATCAGAACACACATACTCGACCCTACACAAGCAAGCAAAGCAGTAGACCTCTCCAGAGATCTACACTACATCCTCATCAACATCTGTCAGGGAGCAGCAGCTACAGTAGTAAGGCAAAACCGCTACAACGCAAACGGATGTGAAACACTACGACTACTGCACAACAGGTTCAGCCTACCAGTAGGAACAAGGAGCGTTGGTTACCTTACCAAACTACTGGAACCCACATTCAACGAAGCGCAGTTTGAAGAACAATTTCTACAATGGGAATACGACATCAACCGCTACGAGAAAGACAATGGAACAGCACTACCAGATGGAATCAAAATAGCAATACTACTCAACAAAACCAAAGGAGCACTGCAGCAACACCTCCAACTGCGAGCTGGACAGATCACGAACTACATCGGGATCAGAGCACTCATCCTGGACTACTACAAAACGATCTCAGCCTTCACTAGATCTACTTCAGCAGTAGGAACAAACTACAATGGAGGAACTGCACCAATGGATGTTGACAACATATGGAGGAAAGGAAGAAGCTACAAAGGCAAAGGAAAGGAAAAGGCGGCTACAAAGGAAGCAAGAGCAAAGGCAAGTACAGGAGTAAAGGACACTACAAAGGATTCGACAAAGGCAGCAAAGGAAACTACAACAAAGGAGGATACAACAAGAGCAAAGGAAAAGGCTACTCAGGATCTAAAGGATATGGATCAAGCAAAGGCTACAAAGGCCAAGGAAACTACAGCAAATCGAAAGGAAAAGGAAACAACAACTACACAACATGCCATCGATGTGGCAAGCCCGGCCACTGGGCACAAGACTGCAGAGTGCCGGTATGGCACATAGGAGAAGGAGAAGAACTACATCCACTAGAACAAGAACAAGCAGATCACGACAACAATGATGAACTACCTCAGGATGTGAACGACACTTGGGACTGGTACTACGAAGGAGAAGAAGGACAACATGAGGTGAACTACATGGAGGAGAACTGGAACGACTACGACTATGACAACAGCTGGGATTGGAATGACAACAGCTATGAGGACACAGCGAACTACATTGGAGGCATCAACGAGTCACACCTCACCATTGGACACATCAGACAAGCAAAATCACGACTACACAAGCACAAATCCAAATCACTACTTGGCAAGAGAACAACACACACAACATCATGGAACGACCACAGCAAGAGCTTTCAACAATTCCTACAAGAAGACACCACAAAGCTACACTTCGACATAGCAGCAGCAAGACAACAACAAAGGAACAAGAAGATTGAGGACACTATCACCCACTACATCATGTACTCCAACTTCAAGTCATACCACCACCTGTTGATCGACTCAGGAGCATCTACACATGTTTGCCCAAAGGACTACGCACCGGATCTTCCACTACGACCCTGTGGAGAATCAGTTCCACAACTCTACACGGTGACCAACAAGAAGATTCCAGTCTACGGCATCAAGTACGTTCCCTACAAGCAGGACAACTTCAGGATCATGATACCCTACTACGTTTGTGATGTGAAGTATCCAATCCTCAGCGCATCAAGACTACTTGATAGAGGATATGGACTTGACTTCACTCCACGACACTGCACCATCACACATGGACAACAACAAGCACACCTCATAAGACACTCAGGACTTTTCTACCTACGAGCAGAGAAGATCGACATTCCTACAGGATTCGACATCTACCCAATGACTACAGACAATGGAAAATCCATTGCTGTGATTCAACCTACAGAGAGAGCAGCACAACAACAAGAACAAATCGCACCACTCACACACACAGACCAAGGACTACGACAGATCCTTGGTGGAAACACTGACTACTGGAAACTTGATGGTGACTACGCCATCAGAGTACACAAACGACCACGCAAAGCACTGTTCACACCACACAACAGTGGCTGCCCAATACCAGAAGGAGAACTAGATGATTGGAGACTAACCATCATCAACAGACAAGGGCAAGAGCAAGAACAACTACAAGAGAACCCAACACAACTTTCCAAGCAAGAACTACAACGAAGACTAGAAGGTGACAACTGGACTGGAGAAACCAGATTCAGAAGAAAGATAACACCTACACGCAGAGCAACATCAAAGACCACACCAACAAGGCAGAGCTCACAACCACAACGGCTAATGGACACACCACCAACCAGATCAAAGATCCAACTACGAGCACCACAAAAGATATGGAGACCCAAAGCAGCACCTTCTACAAATCTTGACACCACACAACCAAAGGAGACAATACACAGACCACTCACAGCACAGGAGGACAACCAAGACTACTGGGAAAGACAAGGTGAACATTGGATACGACACCACACAACGCTTAGAACAACTCTCTTCACTCCAACAGATGGACCAGGACATCCACCAATCAACACACTTGAGCCTCACAGAACTACAATCACTCACAACAACTTTGGAGAAGTTTCACAACGCAAAGATGACTGGACAGTCATGGGCAACGCAGCACTACCATTTCAATGGAAAGGAACAACAAGGTTCACCGTGAAGAAAGACTACGAGTACATCCAGGAGAACCACGATGAAGAACAACAACACGAGCATCATGAAGCACACAGAGCAAGAGGACTACGACAACCACAGCAGCCCACTCCACAACAAATAGCAGAACACAACCTTACACATCTACCATACAGAAACTGGTGTCCAATTTGCGTTCAAGGCAAAGGACGCCAAGACAACTACAAGAAACAACAATCACGACAACCTGTCATTCAAGTAGACTTTGCCTACATCAAGTCACAACAAGACCCAAAGACCACACCGGTACTGACAGCAGTTGATGTTACTACACAACTGTGTATGGCAGTATTGGTTCCAGACAAAGCATCAATGATGGACTACATGGTCAACAACCTACAAGCATTCATCTTTGAGTGCGGAAGAACACAAGGCATACTACAAAGCGACAACGAAGACACACTCAACGCACTTCTAAAAGCTACAGCAGCAAAAGTCGGCACAATGAGTGTACGACATTCACCTTCCTACAGCAGCAACAGTCAAGGAAGCGTTGAGCGACTACATAGAACACTTCTCGGACAAATCCGCGTCGTCAAAGCTCAGGTTGAAAGCAACTACAGCATGACGATGTCCACACTGTCTACTACCTTGGATAGTACGACATGCAGCATGGACGGTAAATCGCTACGTCATTCACTCAGACGGCTACACAAGCTTTGAACGCCGCTGGGGAAGAAACTACGAGCGAGCAATCTGCGAATTTGGCGAGACACTACTCTACCTTCCACCACAACACAAGAAACTTCCGAAAGCAGACCTACGGATGCAGAAATGCATCTGGCTCGGAAAAGTTTCCGAAACCGGAGAAAACTACGTCGCAACGGAATCAGGCGTACAAAAGGTACGAACAGTACGGAGACTACAACCGGACTTCAAATACGACCTCGCACTGTTGAACAAAGTCTCCGGCACACCATGGGCACCACGACGGAACACCTACAACCCATCGTTCGCAACACTGTTGGATACGCAACTACAACCGTCAGAGAAAAGAAGGTCCACGCAAGACTTCGGACAACAAACGAATGCGACGGACGACATCGTTGCAGAACCCGCAACAAAACAACAACGCACTACACCACCTCCACGACTTCCGTCCACATCGACGTCAAGTTCACGACCACTACCGGATAGTCCTATGGCTACTTCACCAACTGGACGACAACATCCACCACTACCAGCACCACCTCGACAAACACTACGACGTTTAACTCCGGAAGAAGTAATGCAACCAACTAAAGCACAGAAGACCTCAAAGGACACTACAATCAGATCAACGGAGCAAGCAACCAAAGAACCACCACCACTACGACAGAAAATCAACGCAGTGACACTTCCCAACGGAAAATCCATCACTCCCTACACAAACGACGACACCTCAGAAGACCAACCCATAATCTTCGACAACGAAGGTTACGACGAAACACAACTACTGGAAGGAATGAAACACGAGTCAAACCAAATGAAACTACACGACGTCTACGACGAAGTAGATGCGTCTACCGTCAACGACAACGTCATCAGAGAAGCGATACCTACAAGATGGGTACACAGAAAGAAAGGACCAGGAGTACGAAGCCGAATCGTCGCAAAAGGCTACACCGAGAAGATCGAGGACGAAGACTCCGTCTACGCCTCTACACCAATGTTCACGACACTCCGGACACTTCTCGCACTACAAATGTCACGACCAAACTGGATCGCGCGACTAGGTGACGTCTCTACAGCATTTCTACACGCACCCATCGCAAAAGACCACGACGGTAAACAACGTGACGTCTACCTTTGGCCACCTAAAGAACTTTGTCCACAACAGGACAAAATCTGGCGACTAAAGAAAGCCATGTATGGACTACGCAGTTCACCGAAAGCATGGCAGGACTACCTGGCTGAAGTTCTACAAAAGCTCAGCTTTGTAAGACTAAAGTCAGAACCCAACGTCTACACCAATGCGACTCGCGACTGCTACATCATGGTCTACGTGGACGATCTACTAGTACTTGGAGACAAGACCGCAGTCGACTCCACTTTCGAGGCCGTCCAGAAGCAGGTACTACTCAAGCACATCGGCTACCTCGAACCTGGCAAACCACAACAATTTCTTGGAAGAAACATCGACCACTTCGGCAACTACTGCAATCTTGGACTAAAGGACTCCTACATCGACAACATGATCGAGGAGTCTGGAATGAACAACTGCAACTCAGTAAACACTCCAGGAATTGCACACTACAAACCAACAATAGAAGATGAAGCACTACTTGACCACGAACAACACAAAAGGTACAGAAGAATTGTTGGCAAACTTCAATGGTTAGCATACACACGACCAGACATTGCATACTCCACAAAAGAACTAGCACGAGACCTCACAGCACCTACAGAACTTTCACAAAAGAGAGTCAAACATCTACTACGCTACTTGCACGGCACCAAGCACTACAAATTCACCATAGAACCAACAACAACACTCAGAGCAAACACCAACAACATCCTGGATCTCGACGTTCATGTCGATGCCGACTGGGCAGGATGCCCTACTACCAGGAAATCAACTTCAGGTTTCAACATCATCTTTCTAGGAACAACAGTTGCATTTGGCAGCAGAACACAAGCTACAATAGCACTCAGCTCAGCAGAGTCTGAACTCTACGCCATTTGCACAGGAGTTAATGAGGGACTACACCTCAGAAACTTCCTACTTGAAACCAACATTTGCAGCAAGCTAAACCTACGCATCCACACAGACTCCACAGCAGGCAAGAGCATTGCTACACGACAAGGCACTAGCAAACGAGCAAAACACATCGACCTCAAATTCCTCTACACACAAGACCTCATCAAGCACGACATCATCAGAATCCTTAAGATCAACACACTCCACAACAGCGCAGATTTGTTTACCAAATACATCAGCAAAGAAACACTACACAGGCTCATCCAGAGCATTGGAATACGCATCTAGCACTACGAACGACCAGCACAGCAGTTTCACAACAACAACAACGACTTTGGACATTTCATGTATGTAAGTAGCTACATGTAACACGACACTTTTGGTATGTAAGTAACAGTAACTACATGTACTTTCACTTGCACTTTTGGCGGCTTGAGTCAACACTACAGTTGTTTGTTTTACATGTCTGCATTCGCCGACTGCCTGGTAGCAACTACTTAGGCTCATTTGTTTTGCCCCGTTTCACTACATTTTGCATTCCACTGCAGCCATGGCCGCTCCATCTACTGCAGATGCTACGATGGGAGACGCCACTACGCCCGACAGGGCGACTACACCTGAGGTGGCGGTCACTACAGACTCCAGTGACCATGGAACTCCACCACCTCAAACCTACAACGACTCCAACTACCACTTCAACCATTCTACACCCGGCAACACCGTCTACTACAACCCGACCACAGTGATGGACCAACTACACATCACTGAGCACCAGACAACCACTGCACCACCACTGCCCGACAACATTCCCTACACTCAATGTTCACTGCATTTACACTTGAAGAGTATCAACTACTCTCACAACAACAAACTACTCCACTGGCACAACTGGACTACACACGACCCATTCACTGCATCCCTGGAGATCTGCGGATGCCACACTACAATTCTACACTGCTCAGCATTTCACTACCCGAAGCAGCCAACGTCCACTACTACCACACGACTTCACTCCACACTACAACTGGCGACAACACCAACTACGTCATCATCCAACTCCAGATTGAACAACCACTACTCCTGAGGTACCTCACTTCAGGACAATTTCTACACTTCACAAGGGACTACATCTCCTACATGATGTCGGTACAACACAACTACTACCTCCCGACTACAACACTGCCACAGACCATCTTCAAGGTGAACTACAACATGACCACCTTCACTGACAACTACAGCCTCAGGAACAACTACGTTTGGAATTACCACATGCCACTACTTCTACCTGAACTACTCCATTACCTTTACAACCGAGACCAACTACACGACTTCCAGCACAAAGCAATCACTACAATCCTCTGCAAAAGCATCCAATACTACGGATTCACACTACTCACAATGACCAACCTCACACAACACCACAAAGCACTACTACACCGCTTTCTACGGGACTACGACCAACACATGTCGTGTCCCGAGATTGATGATGAGCGACTACGGGGAGCTCCAAACTACATGACAACCTTTTTCACCACCAACTACTACGCGACCTTGGACAGTCGACTACAGATGGTCCAAGCCTACCGCACCCAGAAATGGGACTACATTTTTGAGCTCCTGCTCTACTACAACGAGTGCCTGCCTTCACTACTTCCGTCCAGCGCCCTACATCGAGCTGGAACCTGAACAGCGTGAACTACTGAGCGCAGGTCACTACTTTTGCCAATACAGTAGAATTGATGAACAACAATGGTTTTCATCACTACTGTCAATCCATGTTTTGCACTTCAGTTGAAAAGGTACTACAAAGACCTTTTAACTGAGGGGCCGTGTCAAACTACATGCTTCACTTTGCACTCTTGTTGCATGTATGTTCACTACCGCAGGCCTTGAGCTTACTACTCCGCATGAGTCAAAAGGTTGGCAGCTGCAGACTACATTGGTTGACTGTTTGTTTGAACACTACAGCACTTGCACTTGTAAGCAAAGTAACCACCGATTTTAACGTTTTTCGCTCCCTCTCTCTCTCGCTCGCTCTCGCTCTCTCTCTCTCTCTCGCTCTCTCTGCCCCTCTATATAAAACAAAGGAGGGTGTTGCGCAAAAAAGCTTGATCAAGATGGGTCCCTAAATTCGCGGAGAGCTTTTTGCCTTTTCTTTGCCAGGTGGTCATTACAAACTGCTGTTTCTTAAGCTAGGGATCTATGTCGTGAGGGCCACCCCTGACATCCAAATGTCCTTTTGTAGTGGGCAAGTTGGCGCTGAATCCTAGCAGTGTTGCAATTTGCCTGGACACCCATCCAATTTTGTGAGCAACCTCTTTGGGCATCCCCTTGCAACCATCACACCAAGAGGGAACTCAGGCTTAGCCAACGGGAATTGTTGAATCGGGAAGCGGGAAGAAGTCAGGATCCCAAGTGTTTGGGAGCGCGTTTCGGTGCCCAAGCAGATGGCCGCAAAGCAGCCGGAAGGCTTGCGACGGGTCACACCGGAGAAACAAATCAAGGACACTTCAGAGATGTGGCTTTGGGTCAAAGCCAATGGTACAATTTTGGGGTAGGTGAATTCACCACCCATTTTAGAACCTATTTTAGTGGGGATTGGGAGGTTCACTGGGGGCACGATTTGGACCATGTTAGTTGACCAATGTTAGTTGACCCATGGCCATGTCGTTTTTTGGGCTGAGAAGCCCATGGCTGTCACAGGATCACCTGAAAACGGGGCGGGCGTCAGGCGCCTCCTGCAATGCGGCGCTGGACTTCTTGCTGTCCCCGGCGGGCCTGGAGCCATTGGCAGAAAAACCAAAAGACTCACCGGCATAGGTGTCCTTTTTGGGTTGATCTGGTCGAAAAATGGAGGGCCCTGGTCTACCTGATGGTTCAATCAACTACCAGGGCCATCTATTTTTCCTAAAAAGGACACCTCTGCTCGCCGGTGCTTGCCGTAGTTTTGCACCCCTTTTTGCAATGTTTCCCTCACTTTCCGCACCAACCACTTCGTGCCATGGTGTTGGGTTTCCTTTCTGACTCCATTTTGAGAAACACCCAGTTCGCCAGTTTTGAGAGCGGGACGCCCGGGCCCTGGTTTTACTGTGTTTTGAACCTTAGATATATATATATATATATATGTTATATATATATATATATATTATTATTATTATTATTATTATTATTATTATTATTATTATTATTATTATTATTATTGTTAAAACAATGAATAATCTCAGTTCCTGTTAAAACAATGAATAATCTCAGTTCCTGACAGATGCGATGCGTGGCACAGGAGTCCAGCAAAGCACTGTTTGTAGACATTGTTATTCTGAAGAAGCTCGAGTTGCAACCAAGTATTTGCCCAGGATTATGCATGCATCAAGCTACATTCTGCTTCATTAGAATGTGTTGATGGCTCCTGGCTAGGATGCAGAGGCTCCGCGTCTAATACGCCAGAAAAGTTGCATATTCATATTTGAGCAATATGTCCAATAGCTTAGTGTAGAAGATGCTCTGGCAATACAATCAATACAGACCCTGGGCTTCAACCAGCAAGTCATGCATGCCATTGATAACACGCGTAACAATCTTACAGATACCCTGGTTACAGCAGTTAACAAAGCCTAAGCCAGCACTAAGAACACTGCATTTGTGTGAAAAGCTCATTGCGCATCATGGCGATGATCCGGACACTTCATGCAATACACAGTCCCTAGCTTGTAAGAAACAAGCTGTTGCTTAGAACAAGAAGCAATGGCATAGTGACATGCATGCATTGCACATCGTGCTGCTTAAGCTCGTCACATGTGTCACTGCCCATTGTATGGCAGTAGTTTCGCACAAATGCTACTCCATGCGCACTATCTCACGCAGATGCGCCCGCAAGCCAAATGCATAAGATATGTTGTTAGGTTGCTTGAATTGTAGCCCCAGGGCAGCCAAACCAGCTCTTGCCACAGGTTTTCGTTCATGAAAGATATTGGCACAGCAGCAACCAATGTTGGTGCTAGTGTCATTGTAGCTACTGCTTTCACAAACCACTTCCAATCCGGCACACGAGGCTTACCACTATGGCGCTATTAACGCAGTTGATCAGGCAGCACACGCTAGCTAATCACTGTATGAGCTACAAAGACGCATAAATTTACGAGTGACCAATTGAATCTAATCAAAGCAACTGAATCTCGTGCAGGGAGCAAGAACTAAAGGCCACAATTTCAACACTTGGTCCAAATCCTGGCCTACACACACTGGGCCAGTGATCTCGGGGAGGGGTGGTGGGGTGGAGGGAGCGGAGTCGGCAGAAAAAACAAGTGGGCGTCCATGCTTCGTTGTTGGCCGACTCCTCGCCGACCCTGTTCCTAGCCCGGAACCAGTCCCAGGTTCTCTTCCATTTGATGAAATGCCCCCAACAAGCAACAAACTAGAGACTTCACGATTCAAGCTGCACCATGATGAACCATCCTTGGACTCTAGCAGCTAAACGGCACATGCTTGTATTCCCTGCGCCGTTTTCTCTTTCTTTCTCTTAAACACTGTCAGATAGGGAAGAGCCCGCATGGAAGTTGGTGACCTGCGACGCTCGGGTTCCAAGTAAGGAGTGCTTGAGCACAGCCTGCGATCCCAAGCTCATGGTGCGGCTGGGCTTCTGCAGCCGCAGGCTTCGGGGGCCTTGGGGGTCTGGGCCCCCCCGACTTTTGGGCGAGGGATGCCCATGGCACCGCAGACCCGGCGACCCCCGTCTTGGCAAAGGGGGAAATCACCGATACACCCGGCCATAGCCATAGCCCTTGCCGATGATCGTAACTTGGTGCCTGAGAATAATTATTTGGAGTTTAGGCGCCTCTAAACACCACTGGCTCAAAGATGCCGGACCTCAAAGCCTGATTTACTCGTGCTCACTCCTGATTTGGGGCTTACCCGGAAGGGTATGGTCAAGAAGTGAGTTTGCTGGGTCCACATTTGCAACATCTCTCATACTAAAATTGTGGTAAACAGATGCAACTACTTGGCGGCAAAAGGTTTGACCCTGATCAAATCTCGTCTCTTCTCACAGCCACCCAACCCTCCGCCCTAAGGATACCCCCACAAAGATCCTCAAAAGACCTACGTAGTGACAAGTCTCATGGTGAAACCTTTAATTTGAACATGGCTTACGACCCCCGGACTACCCCGAAATACGAGTGTTTTTGTTGTTGTCACGTTAAAAGAAACCAAAAAGCGGTACCATCGAAAAAGACAGACCCGTGTGGGTATCAACTGCTCTATAGGTACTAAAGGGTATATACGAAAATTTGGAAAATCCCTCCTCCTTAGGGGGGGCTAAACCGCCACATTTAGACACTTACAGGGTGTGTAAACCATTTCTTTTGGTTTCGGGGAAGCGGAAGCTGCCTTGAATCGGCTTAAGAGGCGGTTCCTCCAAACAATCTGCAAGTGAGATGCTGAAACTTTTGATTGGCCAATGCCCTTGACACCCTCCCCAATCATTGATTCCAGGGGTTCCTCCAATCTTTTCCTAAAACTTGTCAAGACACATAGTATGCAGCGTTTCCCGGGTCCCGGTTTCAGCCAAAACCCTGGATTTGGTCAGGACGCAGCAGGGCGTCTTCCAGGAGCTCGCCGGAAGCTTCGACTGGCAGCAACTGGCCTACGCACAGGCCGTCCAGGAGCTGTGCCGAAAAGGCAACCACATCTACTTCGGCCGCCCGGGTGTCGAAAATTTACGAAACGGGCGGGGGGTTTTCAGGGGGCAAACAAAATGCAATGAAAGGAGAGTGTTCAAACCAGGTTCAATGAATACGTGGCTTAAGCATGTTTAAACAAGGGGTTCGCTCCACCCTGCTGGTGTTGCTGCATTGGCGGGGCCGAATAGGTCATCAATTGGCAGTACACGTGTTTGTTTGGCATGCATACATACATACGTACATGCATGCATTGCGTACAGTGCATGCAGTGCATACAGTGCATAGATTGCATACATTACATACGTTACACATACTATTTACATTACATGCATTGCATACATCCCATACATTACGTATTTTAAATGCAGTACATACATCGCATACATCCCATGCATCACATACGTTACATACATTACACACATTTCATACACAACATACATTACATACATTACATACATTACATACACAACATACAACATACGCAACATACATTAACATCACACAAGAGAACATTACACACTGTACATAAATAGATTACATTACGCTACATTATATCCATTATATCATAGTCCACTATTGTTGTATTATTACATCATATAAGAATACATTACATACACTACATACATTACATGCGTTACATACATAACAGAACAAAACACTACATTACATTGTATTACCTTACAGTATGGTACATTTACATTATATTACAGTATATTCAGTATATTACGTAAGCACGTGCACACATACACACATTCACGCATACACGCATGCATACATACATGCATACATACATACATATACACACACATACATGCATGCATGCATGCATGCATGCATGCATGCATACATACATACATACATACATATATACATACATACATACATACATACATACATACATACATACATACATACATACATACATACATACGTATACATACACACGTGCACACGTGCACACATACATGCATGCATACGTACATGCATGCATACATGCATGCATGCATACATACAGACATACATACACATCCACAAAATACATGTGTTCCATGTGATGCTACACCTCTCTTATGCACATAATGTTTGTCTGGACGCATATTTATATGATATGTATGCATGCATGCATGCATACGATAATATATTTTGCGTATGTATATAGATCGCGCGAGGGGCCGCGAAGGCAATGCCTTCCTACTAGAGATTCCTTGTTGCAGGTTGTTGCGGCATAGTTACCCAGGGGCAACTTGTTGTGGAACCTTTGGCGCTTTTTTTTTTAGAGAGTTTAGAAGTTCAGATTCCCTCCTTTCAGTTTGGACCTAGACGTCTACGCCAGCGGGTCAGGTGTTTCAAGAGGAGCCATAGTCCCCCTTGTATTTTCTGGTTTCTTTTGGAGGGTCCCCTTTCTTGGCGCTGTTCCAAGGCCGACTGGGTTAATATTTGTTCCCAACCCGTTTTCGGCACCAAAGGAAACTTGGGCAACCTTTGGGACCACCTTACATCGCCCTGAACTGAAATGACGAACTCATAATCACATGTACCCTCGCACCAATGAACAGCCGGAAAGTGACGTTCGGGGGGTCCTGGTTTGGACCACTTTGCTTTTGAAGGGTCAGGTTCTATGCTAATTGGTGGAAGGGTAAGTCCTGGGTTTGCACCTTGGCCAACGGGAGGAACAAACATGCAGACCTCACCGAGGCTATGGCGGGGGCACCACACCCTGCAGGGAATCTTTGCCTTTCCTGCGGCAAGCGGCGCGCCTGTCTCAGAAGTTTCACGCGAAGATCCACATCGACGCCCACGCAGGACCTGGTTGATGTTTTTTTTCTTGTGGCGCCAGGGGTCTCTCAGGTTACCCTGAATCGTTGGTTTGAATTGGTGGTTTGGGGGATTGAACCCTTGCTTCTTGTTCAGATTGAGTAAAACACCCATCCTTCACCACCAAACCACCAATCCAAAGCACCAGTGAAAGGGAAGCTGAGTCCCAAGAGTTCGAATTTCGGTGCCCAGGCCTCCGGTGTCGCACTTGCCTCCTGTTTTTGGAGGCCTGGCTTCAATTTCAGCTGCAGAACATGTGCCGTGTGGTTGCTCATGGCGTGTTTTCTTACTCACTCGCGAACGAAGGTTCGAAAGGCAGGCCCGGCTGAACAAAGCAATGGACATACTCAAACAAGAACATCATGTAAACTTGGGATGAAACCGGAGGACCATACTAATCAGAGGAATTACTTGCTGAATCAGGGAGGGAGGGCAGACTGCTCCCTGATCATCAACACCCTTGCCCCTTGCAAGGTGCGCCGCAAAGATCGAGGTGGTCTTTTGTTTAAATGATTTTCATTGGAGTCCATTTGTTCATTCCCTCGTTTTTCCCTCCGGGCTCTACAAGTGGCCTCCCTCGGCCTCCTCGTTTGCCGCCAACGAAGCCGCCAGCGAGGAGTCCGTGCTCCGGGGCGGTTCGTGGCGAAGAACGTGAGCCAGGCGCGGGCCAAGGCCGTCTTGAAGGACTTGGCCTTCCAGGGTGTGCCCGCCGCTTCTGCCGAAAGGGGGGAAGGGAGGGGGGGTGGGGGCAACCTGTAGGTCCAATTGAACTTTCCCGAAAAGGGTGCCCTTTGTCTTCCAATCCACTGGAAGTCTGGGGGAATGGCAATGGGGAATTGACACACCAACAGAAAGAGAGAGAGAGAGAGAAAGAGAGAGAGACCTTCCTTCTTCCAAACTAAACGAAATCAACCGTTAGGACGAGGTCCTGTTTTGGTCGACCCGCAACCTTCTTTTCGGCGCGTACTCAACAGTAAAATGGAGGTCAGAAACAGGCAGGCTTGGAGTTGGAAAATAGGGTCCCCACACAGAATGATGCACTGTTTTTTGTCAAAAAAGGGCAATGCTAGAATTTTAGACCCGGAGCAGTTGCCTATTTTGAGGCAAGCCGCATCACCTTCACTGCTTGGGGCAAGGCGGGGTTGGGTGGCTGTTGAGTTCGCGTCGTCCGATGCTTGTAGCCCCATTTGTCGATGCAATGTGCTACTGGCAAACTGAAGTGTGGCCCTGAAACAAGTAAAAGAGGCCTTCGGAGGGGAATTCTTCTGGAAAGCGCGTGTTGCATTATTTTCTGGCCGCGGGGCGGGGGGGGGGGGTATGCTGTTCAAGAGGGTGTCTTATCTTTGCAGCTGGTTGGCAATTGTTTAGCGAAGCTCGGGCGTACAAAATGGAAAGGGATGTCCACTGGCGCAGACAAACAGGGCAGGCGGTGACCAATCGTTGTTGGTGGCTTGTGAGCCTGCATTAGCCAAATTGAACTCGCTGCTCCTCATGGAAGAGCAAATGGACAGGGGATGTCCATTTTCCCAAACACGGCCCCCGCTTGTCAGACCGGGACTTGAATTCCTCTTAGCGATCGCTCTGATTTTTGGATGGTCAAAGACTCATGGCTTCCGAAAGGACTTGGCCCGTAGTCCTTTTCCAATGGCTATTTCTTTGGAAGAATCGTGGGGACCACAAGTGGTGAATCGTGCGCGGTAGGTTGAGGATGAGGCGGATCGTTTGATAGGATTGGAACTCCAAGCCTTCTTTTCAGCATCTCAGGGGGTTGCACGCTTTAGGACTGTGTACGGCCTTTCCTCTCTCGCCTTTGGAGGGAACCCAGCCACTCAGAGGGTGGTGGGCTGTGGGTGGGTTGGGATCCGATGATCTACTGCTCCGGCGAATTGGGATGGGGCTGCTTCTCCGCGCGAAGGATGCTCAAAAAGGGGAGAATCCCGAATTCAGGGCTGATATTCAACTGAACTGGGTTTCTCCCATCCTAGCGGACGTATAACGGCCTAAAAGTGAGCGGGTGTTTATTGTTGCAATCAAGTGTGAGGAGGATTCTGCCTCACATCCCCTCACGCTTGGTTCAACCCGCTCATTTCTTGGCCACCTCATGGAGGTTATACAGATGGGGCCAAGCGCGCCACAGCCAAGTACTTGCTGATCTTTGTGGGGACACCGCCCCCCCTCGTGGCCGCCCGTTGGATTCCAGGAGATCTCGGGCACGTGGCCGGAGGACGACGAGTGCGTGGCCCGGGCCGAGCTCTTCTTCCACCGCCACGGCGCAGAGCTGCCGACTCGGCCCACGTACTACCAGTCCGCCAGGCGGCCGAGGGGTTGCGAAGTGGAGAGGCATGGAGCCTGTGAGAATCCGCGGCAGGTGCCAAGCACTTGTTTGCCCTTGTCTGGTGGCTATAATTAGTTGTCCAAAAGAGATCTGTTTGAGTCCTGTGCTTTGAGCCACTAGGCCATTGGCTGGCATGCGGGCCATCCCTTGCAGAGTAGGGGGTCGCGCCATGGCCCATGCACCCCGCAAACGCAGCACCCACCCACCCACCCCTTCAGCTGGCGGGTAGCTCTGAAGCTGTGGAGGTCACATGCGACGGTACACCACGGCATCGATGAGATTGGCTTCGTGGACGACTTCCGATTTAACTTCCAGCACTCGGATCCTGACAGCCACTGGGCTCAACACGAAGGAGCCCGTTCAATCACCACCTTTGGGCCTTCAAGCGGGAAATGTGGGGAGCCCTGTTGCAGGTAAGCTGGGGTTGTCAACGAGGGAACCACCCAAAATTCGGTGCCAAGGACGCGAGACCATGGCAGTTATGCCTCCGGATTATTTAACCTGATGAATTATTGGGGCATTTCCCTCATCAAAATCAAGCAGGGGGGGTTGTTAATCATGGGTGCCCATTATGCGAAGCAAGGGGTCCACTCTAAGGCGCCCAAATGATAAGAACGGCTGGGGGTATTTTTAACCAGAATGCATGCACTCAGGGTTCCACTTTTTGAACCACCCGTGGGTTTAAGTCTACCCTGAGGTAGTCAAAAAGTAGAACCCTGCATGCACCTGTTTAGCCATTACATTTCTAGCCCCCCGCCCTTTCTCACGCCCCAGGCCTGATGCTTTACCTGCCAGCCGCCACGGGATTTCAGCTGGTCTCCGTGCTGAACGCCGCATGACATCTCGCGCGAGCTGCAGGGAAAGCGCCCTCGGCACATGTTTCAGGGCATGGCACGCCTGAAGCAGCACACAAAACGTGGCAAGCAAAGCTGCACATGTGGCATAGGTGGGATTTGCTTGAGTTGGCATACTTTATATACCTTCGTTGGCGGACGGCTTCATCATTAGAGATGTTTGATTCTAGTTGTACTCGTTAGGACTATCAAGTATGGAACAGCATCTGAAGGTTATGCTTTGGTTTGGGGCAAAAGGGCTGATTAGTACCACTCTCTTCTGAGGTAATATCCAAGTTCGGGCCTGGCGCAAGGATGTTCACAGCGAGCTTTTGCTTGCAGATGTTCGGCGCCATTGTCAGGGTGGAGCACAAAATGTCTAACCAATCATGAAATGGAGTTTTAGAAGGAACTTCAGTGTTGCGGACACTGACTGAAGTCAGCTCTGCGCAAAGACGAGACAAAAAGACGAGAGAAAGACTGTTGTTTGAATTCGGACACGGAGGCCATGTTTTTTGTTGTTTGCTAGGAGTGGCTCGCAGCTTCGCAAGGACTCCAAGACTGCTTGGTTAAGCCAAACTAAACTAAGCCAAACAAGCACTTTTGCCAAGCGGTGTCAAGTCCCAGCTAGCCCAAAACGAACCAAACACCATCCTTGACAAAGCTACAACACCGCCTAATGTCCACCCTATTCCTGCTTCAGGAGCTAGCCCTGCAACGCAGCATGGGGCTCATGCCTGTCTTGCCGCACAGTGATGCTAGGGATGTTGCCCTCCACCCGCCCTCTTGGTGACAGTCGCGGTGCCCACATCCAGCCTTGTAGGGAGCCGCTCCTAACACAAAGCCACTCCTAGCAGAAAAACACACGTCCCGAGCTTCGGACACTGTGAAAGAAGCATCTGGGACCGGGCCTCTGAGTGACACTTCAGGTGCTGCTTCGTGAGGCTCAAAGATACTCAAAGCCTCAGACGAGCGCGCGCACAGGCCAAGCAAGCCGCGTCAGTGGCTTGTTTCAATCTCCCCACTTGTTTGCTATTGGGTGGATCTTTGGGCTTTAACTGTTTCGGAGATCACGAATTTTCCATTGAACCCACAAAAAGTTAAGCTTTTTGCAGAGGGGTCGACAGCAACCAAGCTCAAGCTTATGTCACCTGTTTGCCTGTTTGCCTTTTGATTGTCCTTCAAGCTGACTTTAATCCAGATAAGTTTTCAGGGTGCCTCAGTTTGGCAAGTGCAGTTTTCTGATGGGTGAATGAGGCTGCAAAATGGTATGCGTGTGAAAAGTGTAGAGACATACACACATACACACATACATGCATACATGCATACATGCGTAGATACATACCTACATACATGCATACATACATAAAACCATGCATACATACGTACGTACGTACATACATACGTAGCTGCGGTGTGACCGGGCCTTATTTGAATCAAGCAGTGGCTTTGGGAGACCCTCCTTGAATGCCTTTCGCTGTCACATACGGGGTCTGGATATGGACGGGTGGCGCTGTTTGCGCGTTCTGTGGTGGAAGATTGTTGAACTACTTTCCGTTTGAATTGACCAAATAGTGTTTGTATCACGGAAAGCGCGTGTCAGCACAAAGGGGAGATTGGACAATTCATCGGAGAATGCACCTCAGCTGGCTGTCAGTTGCTGCGCCCACTTCTCCAAAGTGAGTCGACCTTTTGACCCGTTTTGGTCCGAATTTGGACCATTAGCCCAGGTTCCAAAGGTTGATTTCACTTGTTTTGCAGTTCTTTGGGCAAGTGAGCTTGGTTCGGGGCAAAGCCCTGTCGAAGAATTTGTGACGTAGGGCTGCGCGTTTTGCACAGTAAAATGGGCTCACCTAGAAGTAAAGCGAGTTCACCCATGATGAAGTTCTCTGATTTGGACTGCCAGAATTCCAGTTCGGAAATGATTGTCTTTTGCTCAATTTACCCCCTCCCCCACCATTTGCTGAATGTGCATGATTCATATTATCCCCCTGTTGGTTTTGGGGCTGGCCGGGAGTGGTAAGGCATTACAAACACCGAAAGGCAAATAAAAGTACTCCATTCGATGCTGCTCTGATTTTGAGTGTCCCATGCAACCCTTGCCACTCCATCGTTTTGGTACCTCCTCCGGCCGAAGTTGGAATCGGTGCTCCTAGAAAGAACCCAGGATCATCATTGTATGCCATTTCAAACTTAACAGGCGCCTGCTTCTTGGGAAATGCAATGGCCCTGAAGTATCCAAGGTTGCAGTGACTCATTCAATAGTGGATCTGCGGCTTGGGAAATGTGGCTGTGGCTCAAAAAAAGGTACCCAAAAGGGCACCTTGGTTGGAAACAAGGACGAACACCTGCGTACAGCAACCCCAGATGTTCAATTTTGAGCCACACCCATGTGGTGAGCCCTAAATCGCATAGCCCAGCAATCGCCGCGCTGCGGCCTTCCCGTTTTGACACTGTTCTTGGATGCCTCCCGGCGAGACGCCCGGCAGTGCACAGGAATTTGAACGGACGGGCGAACTGGGCTGCGAGCGTCTTACGGTTGACTTCTTCCTACCGTTTGACACAGACTTGAGTGGTTCACTTTCCTTATTTCCCTTGAACATCAATGCGTTGATTTGCAGGGAGAGTCACAACTTGTTGACTTTAGCGACTTCATTTAAAAGCGCCAAAACATAACTCTGTCCCGGGCTCAACAAATGTGGAGAGAGTTGGGTCCAAGGACTCCACAGTACGGATAGGTTCCCTGCACGTGCCTAGCAGGTATCCCGGAACGGTGGTTTGGTGGCATTTGACATGTTTGAACTGCCCATCAAATAAGAGTTTGCCATGACAATGACCCACACAGCAAACCTGAATATGGCGCAAATATGAGTAGCGCCCGCAACATAGGGGTTGTGGGAAGGCCAATGTAAGCTTATATAGTTAGCCGTGATTGTAGAAAGTAAGGTCAGTACACTGTGTTGGGCAAACTTAAGCGGGCCACTTGGAGACCCATTGGCGCCACATCCCCGCCCGTCGTAGCTCTCAGCGCCTCAGCCGATTGCCAGATTTGACTCAAGTTATTTGCCCTTTTGGACTTTATGTTCCCTCACAAGCGGCAAACCATTAAACATTATATATATATATATATTAAACAAACATAATCGCTTTTGCAGGGCCATGTGGCCAAGCAGCAAGCCGTTTGACCAAGAGCAAAGCCCAGTTTTCCATGGGCCTCTGTGAATAATAGCCGTTGCCAATCTTTGGCAAGCCACGCGAGTCGCGTTGGAAAAGCGAAAAGCGGGAACTCAGCTTTTTTATTTGGGTGCCTTTCTGTGGGATTTGGAAGTAGGGCGGTAAAGGTAAATAATTAAACCATCACGAGTTGGGTGAGGTTTTGAGGTTGGACATGTAAGGAATCTTCAGGTATCCTCCAAACAGGCACATGCCCTGCTGCCTAAGCTTGTCATGCCAGGAGTCTGGGGAATGGCATGCACAAGGCTTGTGAATACGGGGGACTTGAAACTCAGGCCTCATACTTGTTCCAAGCATCCAGTGGTGTATAGTCATAGCCAACTTCGGGACATTGTGGGGCGAGCTTGAATTTCTACCACAAAAGCCAGGAGACCCCAACAAAACCTGACCATGTCCTTTAGGTCGTCGCATCTTGTGACCTTGGCTATGGGAGAGTCGGCTGGGAAAGCCGATCAGCGGAAGGAAAACAACAGTGAATTGAAGAAGGGCAAGAGCCGATGCTCAGTCTCACTCCCGGAATTTCTGGATGTGCTGTGTGGGAGTACCATTCTTCAGGGGTGTTAGGTTTGGCATGTGGTGCTTGGTACATTTGCTGATCGTCTTTTGAGGCTGACTGATTCGGAAACAACGTCTTTGGCGGCCAGCCCAAAGTTCGGAGCTTCTCTGGCGTCTTTGCAGCAGTGACATTCCAAGCTCACCAGACCGGGTACCCATCATTTTGGCTCCGACTCCGACCTACTTACCCTGTTGCATCGTTTGCCTTGCTGCGTGTTATTTCATTTCCCCTTCTTAACAGAACAAGATAACTCCGGCCTATTGCTGAAATGGCAGCGCAAGGCTTCAAATCAGGGGATGCCTTGGGAAGGGGGGGTGCAACCCATGAAAAGCTAGCTTCAAGGACAGACCATCTATCCGAGGAATGACGCTTGGGGCTTTGAAAAAGAAGACCATTGTTTGGTGCTGATCTTTTGAATTTCGGCCGAAAAGTCCATCCGGATAGAAGAGATCCGTCCAGCAGACGTCCAAGGATCGTCCGTTTTCACTGGAAGTTCCAAGCATATTCGGATCAGCCCTCACCCCTCTCTTAAGAAAGCTCGACGTGGAGAAGGTGTCTTTTTTTGAGCAAATCGATTTGAATGAAGAACGTACTGACTCGCGTCAGTGGCCTCCCGCCCCAAAAAATTGGCGCACAAAACCCAAGCCCATGGACTGCGGTTGCTGGCAGTGGCTCCGCAAATCCCAGGCCGGGGGGGGGGGGGCGTCGCGGGCGCCGGCGCAGTCGTTGAAGTTCCATTCTGGTGTTTTCAACGCGCACATGTACATACGAATATATGTATGTATTCCTTTGGGTATACACACATGCATATATATATATATATATATACACCTATTTATATACGCATACAGGCATTCATATGTATCTCTCTCTCTATATATATATATGTCAGTCTGTATTCATAAGCCCCCAACCTTAAACGAGTTATGCTATATGATATAAGGATCTCCTGCCTACGTACACGATATGATCTTCCCATCGCCGTCAATCAAGCATTGCGTTAAAAGAAACATTGGCTTCATGCGCAATAAGCTGTTGTCCTCAGAGAGTGAGGCCATTTGCTGTACCAGAAATGATTCTGTAAGTGAAACCAGGGGCCTTCACCATGCGAGAGCTGGTTCCCTGCCGAGGCTCCTGCGGCCTTTGATGCAAATTTGCTGTGAGCTTGTGCCAAACACGGCAGCACGGGCCCTCGAATGATGTTGCGCCCAAAAGGGACGCACGCAGATCATTGTCTCCAGGAGTCAAGCCTCACATTCGTACATGCAGTTATACATGTATCGAAATTGATAGACCTACTTTTGTGTTGTGTCATTCATTTGTTTGTGTAAATGTATGTGTATATTTGTATATGTGTATATATAAACATATGAGTGACTGCCAATAAGGACCCATATGAACCTGCCCAACTCTCAAAAGGTTGGATCACAGCGAGCCGGACCAACCCGGAAAGACGAAGAAGGGTGCACAATTGTCCGAGAGATTCAGATTACGGTGGAAAGATTGAGATGGTGTCCGCATAGCTTGGTTACTCGTAGCATATTGAATTGAGAACGTTGTCATTGTTTGAACATTTGGACCAGGTTGAGGGCATCTCCACCGAATTTCGGGAGGGCTTCTAGACATGTGGTCAGATTGTGAGCTGCCTCATGTTGACGGGCCCCTTATGTTCCGCAGACAAGAGGTGAGTTTGCGGCCCCTTCAGGCGGTTCCGCCTCGCATCAAGGCGTCGCAGGCCGGCGGAGAAGTCGGTTGAGCGGTGAAGCGGGCGAGTCCCGCGGGCTGGGAAGAGGATGGAGGGCCAGTGCTCAGCTGCAGGTTACATTCCCACCAACATAGGTGTCCTTTTTTGGGTTGTTTTGGTAGAAAAATAGATGGCCCTGGTTTACCTGGTGGTTTCATCATCTACCAGGGCCATCTATTTCCTCTAAAAGGACACCTATGCGGAACCTAACGTTCGGGTCCTGCCTTGGACCATTTTCCTTTGTTTTTGGGACCATTTCCCGAACGTCATGTTCCATGTTAATTGGTGGGAGGGTAACGTGGAATCCACAGGCTAGAAGGAACTGCCCTAATCGTGGAGGGGACATCATTTTTGGGGAATCTCCCTGTGAATGATCGTTTTTTTTGGGTTCCATGCCCCGGGGAATCACACTTGCAGCTTTACCGGGGTTGCTCCGAGTCGTTCATTTACACCATGGGCCAAGCGTGCCAGGTCTTTGGGGAAGCTCAAGGGGGCTCAATCCAAAGCTGCACTGGTAATTC